TAGTGACCAAGCAGTATTAGGGAAAACAAAACAGCCCCCAGCTCCACAAAAGAAGCATTCTTACCTGCAAATTTATGTGTTGCTCTTTGTCAGCTTTGTGCTAAAATGCAGCTCCATTCAAAACTGAATTAGACTCAGTTGGAGAGGCAGTAGCTTGCAACAGGTTTTTATTCTTACAGGGTTCTGAAGGCACTTCCAGTGAGAAACATAACAGTGGACATCGGAAAACATCCATAAATCTGGAAAAATGCCACTGGATTTAAGCATGTAAGCCTCAACAAAAGCTGGACACCCATACCACAGGCTTCCTTTAACTCTGCAGCCACGTAAAGCAGCTGCACATTAAAACTGGTGCTGGACTGATCATTCAAAATTAATTTAGCCAGAACATTATTGAGCAGCAGAAGTTTCTCCTGTTGCTTGTGTGAAACCTCCTTGACTTTGCTTCCTTTATCCCTTCTACAACCAATAGCAACCCCCAGCTTTTCACTGGAGCTTCTCAAATCTGAAATGTGAGCAGTGCAGATCACACTGCAGGGTTGTGATCAGAGCCTGAGCCAGGAGGAGCAGCAGCCAGCCTGTCACACCACAGACCCTGGTTTGCTTAGGGCACGGGGCTGGGCTGGCCCTGCCTGGCAGCTCTGCCCCTGTACCTCCCTCCCTGCCCAGCAGCATGGGAGAGAGACCCTGAAGGGCAAAAGGGACAAACACTTGTGAGCCAAGATAAGCCCAGTCATGAAGGAAAATGAAATGAAATGAAACGACCCCAAAAACAAGCAAGCGATGCAAAGGCAGCCAGTCACCCCTTGCAGCCTGATGCCCAGCCAGGCAGAGACCTCCTGTGGCAGAACTCCCCCCAGTTTCACCTCTGAGAGTCACATCACACGGTGTGAGACGTGTCTTTGGGCAGCCTGGGGGAGCTGTCCCAGCTGTCCCCCCCTCCCAGTCCTGCCCCCCAGCCCCAGCCTGCTCACATGGGCAGCAGAGTGAGGGATGGAGAACACCTTGGTACTGTGCAGGCACAGCAATAACTAAACCATTGTTGTGTGTTACCAACACTGTTTTGGGCACCAGTCTAAACCACAGGACCTTACAGGCTCTTATAAAGAAAATGAACTCCATCTGAACCTTTTTATCTGTACAGGCAGATAAAAAGGGTGCATGGAGACTGCCAGCCCAGCACTGCTGGTGTTACATGCAACAAGAAATAATCCTTGGCTTTTTTCTCTCTTCAAGACACCTGGTCTTCACTAAAATTTAGGGGAACTGTGGCAGGGAAATGAAGTAAGCCACCCCAAGCCACTCCTAGAAGCAGGAGAAGGGATTAGCACTCAGGGCTGTGCTTGTCCTGAACCACCACCAGTTCTCCAGTCTTCATCCACCAGCCTCATTTTGCTGTTGCATTGCTGGATAAACAAAGATCCTTGAATTCAGTTTCCACCTCTTTACCACTAAATAACCACCTCAACATGTTGCAACCTGAGGCTCTGTGCACAGGTAATTTGTGCTGCTACCTTATGGTACTGCACTGGTGCAGAGGGGAGATGAGCTTGACACACCTAGAAATCACACAAGCAGCAATGTAAGGACTGCAGGACTTCTCCAGCCCAACTAAAACCAGACAGATTTGCTCTCATGGGAACATGGATCTCCTTTGAGAGGGAGAGGATGTGCTTTTTTTTACTTTTTCTGGCGTGTTTTGGGGGTTTTTTTCAGATAGCATTAGTTGGCTCTTTAAAAGCCAGTAGTAGTTCCAGCCTTGAGTTTCCTGCTCTGAATCTAAATTTCCCAAGGCAGAAGAAGTGACTTACCTGGAGATCATAAAGGCTGTCACAAAGCTCAACAGCCAGGATTAGAATCATATTTTCTGCTTTATCTTATGTTCTTTCAAGTCAGTGCAAAACGTTACCAAAAAGCATTACCACCAAATGATGCTGGGGCTTAAGCAGCACTGGTGTGGGAGCCCATCTAGATCCCAATCAATCACATTGTGCCTGCTCACAGCATGGCAATCATTTGTCTAGGCATTGAAAAAACACAAAGCAAGAAAAGTTCATCTGTTTTCAGTGAATTTTAATAAAGGAAAGAAACCTGAAGGTACGAGTTGGATTTGAGCAGCAAGTTAACCTTTTCCCTGACACCATGTGAGGTCTCTCTGCAGGGGTGTTAGGCAGATTTGCTAAATGCCACACTGGGGTTAACTCTGGAGACTGCCAGACCATGGCCAGCTTTATATAAAGCTCCCCAGGAGTCAGGCTGATACTCTCAGGCTTCTCTGAAAACACTGCTGATCCATAGGGATAATCTCATTTCCTGGAGCATGAAATAAGCCGCAGCCTAAGGGTTACAGCTGATGGCTGTGTGAGACACAATCACCAGTCTGACAAGTGCTGCTGCTCCCCAGCTCTGTGAGGTATTTGGTGGCTTTTGGGCCTCCAAGAGACTTAGCTGAACTTGGCTGCTGCTCCCTGGTAAGGGACACCATGCCTGATGCTCCCCTCTCCACTGCCCCAGACACGTTCACAGTGACCACTGAACACACATTTTGGAATATAGGAGGGGTTTGCTATAGCATTTGTGTTTCCCAAAAGGCAAGAGAGCTGCAAAGCTGGTCAAACAACTCCTTCCTAGAACACATCCCTGCAGGTCCCATGGGTCCACGTGCCCAAGCACACACACGTGTAGTGAGGTAGCTGTTTCTGCTAAGGCAAAGAGCAGTTTAGAGAGCTTTGGCTGTCAGGAGAATGGAGATTTTCAGCTTTGGTGGAAAACAGTAAAGCTAGACAGGTCTGAGGCCCTGCTCAGAGTGTATCTACCAGGTGCTGAGCTTCAAAACCCATGCCAAGCTGTTCAGAAATGTGGATTTTCAGAACTGAACTGCCAGCTGCTGGGCAGCGCCAGGCTGTGGGCATAGTACAGGTGTGAACGTGTTAAGCTTCAAGCTCTTGGGAGCTGCCTTCCCTTGTAAACACACTAGACAGGGAATTACCACCCCTTGCCTGTCATCACCATTGTGAGAAGAACATGTGATACGTCCCTGTTCAATTAAAAAGGAGCCCAAGGTCACTGCCCTCCTTTGTGAAAGGGGTCCAATCCTTTTGAAGTGCTCCCCTTTGTTTCCTGGCAGAGTGGTGGCACAGAAACAATGCCACCTCCCACCACGAAATGACAGCTTGCTCCAGCCCTCTCAGAACAGAAGCCCTTGAGGCTGGCACCAAGGGAGCTTGATGAGGTTAGTAATCACTGCAGCACATGAAAAGCATTTTGCACCACTGACCTTTTGCACATAAAGAGCTATACTAGTTTTGCTTATAAAGCCGGGAAGATTTATACACACGGCTTTCTCCCAGCACTGAGGGAGGAGAAACTGAGGCAGTAAAATCCTGAAAGCCAGCAATTTATTCAAGAAGGGATGCTGAGAGCACTTGAAGGCTTAAAGCTTATGGTATTTCACCTGCAGTTTGCAGCACAGGAAACAAAAGATAGGATTTTCACTAAATCCTAGCATTTTCAGACAGAAACAATGTTGTTTTTTTTTTTTTTTAAGTCACATTGACAGTCCTGTGGAAGTTCTCTTTGAGGGTTGTTACTACACAAGAGCTGTGTGCACAGCTCTTGCTGTTACCTGTGGCTGTAGTGACAGCTGCCCTGAAAGGCAGGCTGGAAAGGACCTTCTATTCCTAGGACCCCTCCTGAGGTTGTCTGTCCTTCTCTCCCCTCAGGAAGTCACCCCACTTCCACACAGAGGCAGCCCCTGGCATGATCTCTGGTAAAAGACATCTCCAAAAGCTGGGAAATGATAATATAAATAAAGGAAATAATTTCTGCCTGGTCTGGCTATGCTAAGTGACTTGGAGACAGAGGCACATCGTGGCCCAGGTTACCCTGCTCACCGGTGTGAATGGGGAATCCCAAACCTTTTCTTCAGTACTTTACATGGTGGGCTACAAGGTAACTGGGAAGCAAACCCAGGTAATATCCCTCTTCCTTTCTTGGAGCAGTCTCCAATTTTAATTAAAAATTAAACCTTCACCGTTCCATCAGTAGCAGCATTTTATGGGAGTCCCTTCATCTGTAGTTTGGAAATTGGGAAACAGAAATATGACACAATTACCTCCAATTACCAAAAATATTACTTTTATGAAAGAAAAGTGAAAATTTGAATTAGTCCAGATCTGAAGCAGAGCAGTGAGAGACACACAGCAAAATTTTAGGGGATTTTTCAGTGACCCACGGCCTTCAGAGAGGAGAAATAATCATGTTACTGCCTTTCCTGCCAGCTTGACAGAAATGTGTATCCTTTAATCTCACACAGTGAATCCTCTGTTTGCTTGGGCTTTGGAGATTCAACGAGCACCGTGTGCAGTTAGCACAGAGCAGGATTCCCCCATCACTCGCTGCTCTGATCCTGGCCACAGCCATCAAGGACTGCCCTGCCTCTGGATACACAACAGGGACGTGCACCAGGTACCAATTCAGATGTGCAACACGGCTCCACCCATGTTGTCTGCAGAAGACAGAAACATTCACAGCAAAGTGCAAAAAGAATTCAGTGTCTTCCACTTGATCCCTGGCGATGTTTCTGAGCATCCCTTGGCACATCTCACCTTGTGCACCCACCTCAACCCCCAAGAGCTACTGAGATGCTTGTTTTGCTCAGCCCAAGTCTCCTTTAGGCATTAAAGGCTCTTCTACCCTGTGTTTCCAGGGAGATTAACCAACGCTCTGCACGCTGAGGTTCTGTGCAGCCCATGGCAGGAGCCCTCTAAAACACTTCAGGCTGGTTTGTCTGCCATCCCTCCTCCTTGACCATCACCAGGCCACTACCAGCTGCACGCCTGGCGGTCAGCATCCGCGGTTCCACCTGCAGTGCAGTGTCCCATTTTTATTTGGATGCTTCTCCTGCTGTCCCACAGCACACAGGGTTTGGATCCGAGCCCCCCCATCCGGCGCCGCCTCAGCCGCGCGTGGCCACGTCCCGGTGCCCGTCCTCCAGCAGGTCAAGACATCAGCATGTCCCAGCGCTGGCTCATGGCTGTGCTCTCACAGGGGTTGATCACCAGCTCTCGGATGCTCTCGTGGGTGTCCCCAATGGTCTCAGTGTCCAGGCAGAAGCGTGTCGCTATGTGCTCGATGTGCGACCCCACCTTGCCCCAGCGCTGCAGAGGGGAGACACACGACAGGAGAAACAGGTGAAGGAGCTGCCTGCCCAGCCTGCTTGCACTGCACTGCTCCAGCATCAAGGGGACAGCTGCCACCAAGCCCTTGTGGCCTGATGCTGTCAAGGCCTCCTGTCAAGTACGAGGTCCCCAAACCCACACTGTCACCGTGGTATTTTCTGAAAAATCCCTTTGTCAGGATTTCTTCTCCTGGGAAGATGAGAAGCCTCAGCTTCTCCGTGTTGTGCTCCTCTGGAATGTGATCTGGAGAATTCTTTACCCAGCATGTGAATTGTTTTTACCCAATGACCAATCCCAGTCCAGCTGTGTCGGGCTCTCTGGTCAGTCATGGGTTTTTAGTATTCATTCTTGTCCAGCCTTCTGATGTCTCCTTTCTCTTTCTTTAGTATAATTTTAGTATATTATTTTCTTTTAATATAATATCTTAAAATAATAAATCAGCCTTCTGAGAACTTGGGAGTCAGATTCTCATCTCTCACCTTGTCCTGGGGACCCTCACAACACCACAGCACACACCAAGCAGAGCTCACTCACGCTGAGCATTTCTCCCATCAGAAGCACACTCATTTAACTCGGCCTCTGCCTGGCTTCAGGGAGATAATATATTACTAACAGCTTTTTCCCCAGGTCACTGGCTCAAATGCCAGCTCAGTGATTAACTGCAGGGAAATGTTAGCATCTGCTGCCTGACTGGCAGCCCATGTGAACTAAATTGCCAGTTTGGGTTTGACTTCTGCATTGAAGTGTCCAGATCACCACCCTCACTAATAGACATCCTTATCAACACACTCATTTAAGAGGCAAAGGGCTGAACAGGCCAGAGTCTCTACTCCCAAATTGACTGTGCTTCCCAGATGAAGTCAGAGCACAGGCCATTTAATGTGCAGTAATACTGTGATGAAAGAAAGGGAACTCCAAAGAAAATGGGGGATCAGTGAAAAGGGCTCACCTGCTTGTTGTCACCTTCTTTACAAGGTGACAGCAGCACCTGGGAGCCAGGGAAGAGGGTGTACACAGACAAACAGAGCTGCTGCTGGCGGACGTGGTGGTTGTACGTGTATGTCCACTCCTGCACAGAGGAAGAAAAAGAAAAAAGTGGTGAGAGAGCAGTGTCGATTCTTTCTATTCTTTTACCTGGAAAACAGAACACTTTGGCTTGGATCCTGCCCCTTACAAAATCAAACACAAACCTCACTGACTTCAAGAGGCATCAAGAGAAGTCATTGTTATGTTTCAAGCCTCCCCAGAATTGCAGCTGTCATTGAGGGACTAAAGGTACTCCAGAAAATGTCTACAAAAGCTGCTGGAAGAACACGTTTCATGATACAAAAGATTCCACTGCCAGAACTGGGCTGTGGTTGGAGAACAAAAGGATGGGAAAAAAACCAGAAGAGAGGCAGGAACACTACCAACCACACAATGTGCAGTCCTATTTTTTCAGGGAAGAGCAGCAGAGATGCTTTGCAGCTGTCAGTGGGAGACAAGAGGTGATACACAGTAAATGCCTGCAACTCCTGGGGTTCTGTTCCCAAATATCACAAAAATAAGAGGAAAAGCTCTGCTTTCTATCAAGGCACTGGGACCAAATTTCAAAGGTTTGCTGAACTGGTTGGCTGTAACCATTGCTGCTCTCATTCCACTGGGCTGTGGTGGGGTTTTTTTTCCTTTTGCTGCTTTTTCATGTTCACCAGTGTTTTATCGGCTTGTCAGCCTCAAAAATAAACTCTGGAGGAGCAGAGACTCTTTGTCCTGTGTGATGCTTACCAAACAACAGGAGATCTCTGGGATTACCATCTTTTTCACCAGTGGATGTTTTTGGGAGAAGAAGAGGAGCAGCTGATGAGGATTTGCAAATGTACTGGGCAAAGCACCATGGATGTACAGACACACTGCTTTAGCCCAGGAGTGCTTCACAGAAGTTTACTCCAGCTGAACATTTTCTATCACTCACCTGTGCTCTTATTACCCAAAACCACCTCCTGAGAGGATCCCAGCCAAGGGATGTCTGTCTCCCTGTTATTTGTGTGGGTGCACAAGCAGACAAGAGCTGGTTTGGCTGATGGGAAACCACAAGCCATGCTTTTACATAACCCTGGAGAGGGACTTCTGGACCAGGTGTTTTGCTTGTAACTTTCTGTGAGCATCAACTTTGAAATTGGAAAGAGCAGGGCTGGAAGGGTTTTCTGAGGGCTCCCATCCAGGGTGCAAAGCAGGATCAGCTCCTGCTGTGTAAATGGCTCTGAGCAGCAGATGGAAAGCAGTTTCTGAGCTGTGGCTGGGCAGGTGAGCAGGGCTGGAGGACCAACAGCAGGCTGGCTTCACTATCAGAGTGCAATAATAACCCTGCCAGAGCCAGCAAGGCCAGGGAGCACAAGGATTCCCACAAGAGACCCCAGGAGCCGTGGCAGATGTTTTAGCAGGGTACAGGCTATGAAAACTCCGAAACTGCTGGGAAGGAAAAGGTGCCAAGAGGAAGCAGAACAGTTGGGAGCTCAGCTATGGAGAAGTCAGAGCTCCATGAGAAGCGATGTGAGCAGCAGTGTGGGCAGTGGAGGGGAAGGCAGTGCTCAAACATATGGCTGTTAGGCTGGGGCTGGAAAAATGGGGCTCCTGGGAGACTTCAACCCTTTCTGAGTGCTGGAGGGGAATGTGAAGAATGGCTGCCCTACTCTCAGAATGCCTGCAGTGCCCCTGACTTTGAATGGTGGAGGTTTTGGGTTGCATTAACATGAGTTATTAGAGCAGGGACACGCTTCTGGTCCTTTGCTATTTGTCACAGTCAGCAGCTCTAACTCCTCTCCTCAGCTTCCAAACAGACAGCAACAGGCATTTAGCTCCTGGGAATAAAAATCCCACTTTCATTCAGGTTCTTAGCCACCTGGAAGGGAAAAGATGCTTTTGCACAGCAGACCCAGCTCCACAAGGGCTTCACACTGTGATCCTCATACTCTGTGCTCCTCAGCCCACTGTTCCCCACCAGCTCATGGAAATCAAGCCTGCCTTTCTGAACAGCCTGCCCACAGGCTCCTCAGCAAAAGCTGCCCAGGATCTGGGGACGTAACAAGCATTCATTTTCAAAGCTGTAATCCACGCCCTTCTGGCAACCACTTTTCTTTGTCACATGGAGCAGGGTTTACCTGATCCCACAGTGAACACATCCCAGACATCCCAACCTGTCAGCTGCTGTGTAAACCACCAGCCTGGGAAATCAGGTGCCAAATTAGTCCAGCATCTGTGAAGAACCAAACCCTACGGGGCAAGCTCCAACATCTGTTCTTGGCACCCATGCTGCTACAAGCTGCTTTGAAAACCTGCTTTACATTTTTAACCAATTGTTGGTCATTTTAGCTCAGGACAGGGCTGAAGCTGCACCCATGAGGCTCCTCAGCAGCAGCCAGTTAATACTCTAACTTGTGTGTATGTTGAATTCTCCAACTAACCCAGGCCATGGGACTTTTTTGTTTGTTTGTTTCACATCTTAACCTTCTTGCTTCACTGAGGTTCTCTCACAGAAGACTGCTCCTACCAGAGGTTCCCCATTATTTTTTTTCCAGGCCAGGCTATGTTCAAACCTTCAGAATATTCACATCCTCTCAAGGCAGAGCCATCCTCTCATCCAGCAGGGGACCATGGGACAGGAAGGGTGGTGATACCCATTTTCCCTAAGCTGTTGTTCATCATAACAAGTGAGGGCTCCGGAGCTGGATGTTCCACATCCAGCAGCAGTTCCACAGCTGACACTGGATCCTACCCTCCTGCCCCCAGGCTGTCCTTCCACTGTCTTTATCTCAGCTGACAGATTTTCACACAGCTCATCTATCTCGGCAGAATGGCTTTTTATGGAAGCCAGCCCTGTTGAAAATGTTTTATCCAGCTCTAATCATGTCTTCTTCCCTTTCAGCCCTAGATGAAAGCCAAGGAAAATTATGCAGAAAATGAAGAAATTTGAAGGGGAAGGAGGAGGGAAGTCAGTTGAACACCACAGAATCCACGAAGGACTTTGAGTTAAAATACATGCCCATGGCCACACAATTTTTTATCTTACCCCTTCTCTTCCCTTATTTTTATGAGTTGGGATTAATTTTTTTTTCTTTTTTTTCCATGAGAAACTACTTTATCTCCTAATCCCTGGCACACTGACGTGGCCAGCACAGCAGAGGTTGTGGTGGATGGGGCAGCCCATGGTACTCCTAAGGAGCCCTGCAAGGAGCTAGCCTGGCTTCAGGGCTGCAGAATTGCCTGAGCAGATGCCATCAGGGTTTAGAGCTGACCCAGAGCCAAAGAAAAACAGATCTATGAGGTAAAACAAGATTTCCTGCCTTTTCAAAGGCACAGATGGAGGGGTGGTGGAGCCAGGAGGAAGAGGGTGGACTTGGTGAAGAGAGCAGGACCAGCTGCCCAGCACAACCAGCAACCCCCTCCCTCCAAAGCCTCAGATAACACCAGCCCCTCATCTGGGGCTTGTGACTGTTTCTCAAGGCTTTAGCATCATCTGAGCCGGCACCTGTCACTGTTACTCAGCATTATTGTGAACTGAGGAAATTATTTTCCAGAGTGACCTTTGGCTTGGCATAGCCTGGCTGGCAGATGGAGCAAGGAGCCCCTCAGCCCAGAAGGAGCAATCCCATGGGAGCCCAGCATTCCGTGACAGCGAGGCCTGTGCTGCCCAGAGAGAGGTCAGCCGTGCCCTAAAGCAGGGGTAGGAGCAAGAGAAAAGCTTTTCTGAAGAAGGTGGAACAATCTGATTATCCAAATTATCTTCTTAACAATCCCAGGGAAGGACTTCCCAAGGCACGAGTCACCGAAGGACACCGAAGTGCTGCCCTCATCAAAGACCCTGGGACACAACTGGCACTTCCACACATCTCAGCAGAGGGAAAGCAAAGTACACCAGGTGCCCAGGACTGTCTCCCTGTTCTTCTAAGCCTTCTGATGTTTACATTTTTGTAATGGAGTTTCTCACACACTTTTCACATAAATACTGATTGTTTTGCATTCCTTTCTGGAGGAAGAGAGATTTGATGGACTGTCGGTTTGACCAGTGTAGTTAGAGAGGGGGCAATTTCATCCTCCAATCCACAGTCACTTTTAGAATCCTATAAATACTAAGGTCCAAAAGGAAATGTACCTTTTTTTGCCTTGGACATCTCAGCGTGCCAGTGTCATTCATTTCATGTTGTATTGTGACACAGGACAACCTGGGTGCAGAGATGACACCGCTGCCCCCTGCTCTGCTCACTCAGCCTGGCTCCCACAGCCCCAGCCAGCCTACAGCTGGGGCAGGTCATGCCCATGGAGGAGAAGAACAAAGGCTTTTGAGGGGAGGAGGGTCAGAAGACAATGTTTATGGTTGAGATGTCTCAGGAGGGTCACTTCGTTTGGACAGATGCTAAATGCTCTCCAGAAAAAGGGCAGATCTACTCAGCACACAGAGGACCTCAAGCCAACTGGGATGAGCATCAAAGCCACACCAGGCAGGTCATCACATTGCCTTTCCTTCCATCACACTGCCTTTCTTTCCATCACACTGCCTTTCCTTCCATCACACTGCCTTTCTTTCCATCACACTGCCTTTCCTTCCCAAGAAGAACCAAGGTCGTGCCACTCGAATGCAATGGCAGCCACTCAGCTGCTGAGCCCAGGTATTTTGGGGTGCAGGCTCAGGAAATGGATGCTGCAGCCTTTCCCCTGTTTCCTTGCTTGTCTAAAAGATGCCTGAGCTTTCCATTCCTCTTGCAGCAACTGCTTACACGTGTGTTATATCCAGGTCAAAGCATCTTCAGATTTTTTATCTGAAGTATGTCAGGTTTCCTGAAGCTGCTAATGACTTAAATAAATCCCAGTCAGATGTCTTTTCCAAACTCTATGAACTAATACCAACTGACACTTGGTTTGAAAAAAAAAAAACCCAACTATTCACATCTTCATTAGATAGATGAGGACAAAATTATGATCAATTATTTTCCCTCAGATGCATTTCTCTTGTGAAAAACTAAATCAATCTGTTCATTTAGCAAATGAGATGCAACAAGGCATGGAATGCTCCAGTGGGCAGGAGCACAGGCAGAGCCTGCTGTGCCCTGGGCATGGGCACTGCACAAACATCTCTGCCTGTCACTAACTCAGGAGCCCCCTGACAGCCACCCTGAGCTCCTCAAGACCCCTCTGAGAGCCACCTCGGGGGACAGAGCCCACCCTGACTGCTGCCTGGCCTTCTGCAGAGGAAGGAAAGGGCCAAGTGGATCCCCAGGATGAGAACACAGAGCTCTCTCCCTCCACAAAGATGAGGGGTCTTCTTCTGCCTCAGTGCCCCTTTCAGTAATTCAGGACCAACACCAGACACCACCAGGGAGGTATTTTGAGACCTGCCAAGGGTGTAAGTCTGATTTCACCACTGAGTACTTGCCTCAATTTACCCCAACTATGGATGTTGTGAGCCAGAGGGCTCACAACACCCTTCCCCTACACTACAGTTAGAAAAACCTAAAATAAAGAGCAGCTGATTGCCATCTGACAGCTCCTGTGCCTCTCTCCTCAAACCATGACAGCCCAGATCTTCTCACGCCCAGTCTCAAGACTTCATGCATATAATGTTGGTAAAGGGCTGGGGCAGCCCAGCAGGGAGACAGCTACAGAAAGGCAATCAAAGCAACCAAATTACTGCTACTATAATAGTGATAATAAAGAATTTGGACAGCCAGGATATTTTCACGGTACTTACTGAGTGCCAAGGAAGCACAGCTTTGATTTAGCTAAGCCTATTTTTCACAAAATGAAGCTTAGGGTAAACAAGACGTGACTTCAGTGTGTTAAAAGTGAAGATTATTGCTCTATTCTGGTATATCAAATGCAAAACCAAGTAGCATTCGGGACTGCTGCATAATCAATCCTACACAGCCTGGTGACTGTAACAGCCACGTCATCCACAAGTTCAGGTGGTCTTGTGGCAACTGAGTCATTAAAATATAAGTTTCCATTCACAATAAAAGTTTAAATATCCTGCTTTAATCTGAACGATTCTCCATGGGCACAAGTAACAAAGAACTATCCTAGAAAGACAGAGAAAGATAAAAAGGAAAAGGCTTTTCTCTGTTCCTGCTGTGTACTGAGTGCAGTCTTTCTGCAATCTGTTTGTAGTGCATTTTTCTGTTCCTTTGCAAAGTTAGTCCTGGATGTGCACAAGAAATAGAGTTGCCATCCAGTGGGAAGTGTTGACCTATTGCAAACTGCTGCAGAATCAGAACAGGAAGATGAAAAGTTCGTGGCGTGAAAAATTCCGAAAATTTACTGCACAGAAATGTCAAAACAAAATGTGTTTGATAGGAATGAAACAATCCAACTTGTTGGCATGACATTTCTCATTTTAAAATACCACATCAAATTGGTATTTCAGAAAGACCAATACCATTTCATTACACTGACTTGCAGCAGCATTTTTCATTCTGATTTTCCCAGATTTATTTTTTTAGAACAGCAGATTCACTGGACATTACTATTGTTGTTAGAACACTTTTCCTTTCTTCTGCAGAGCTAGCCCTGAAAAACATGATGACCTGCTCTCACCAGCTTTCTGTTTGTGTGAAAAGTCCATGCAGCAGTGGAAGAAAAAAAACCCCAATTCTGGAACATGGAAACCAGTGAAACTGTAAGAAGTGTTACTGTGTGGCACTTGCAATTATATTAACTACATTTTCTGAACTGAACTAATATTCAAGTAGTCATTGTTGATTTTGCCATGCTGTGAAACAGATATTAATTTCCTGCCTACAGACAGGCATGCAACTGCATTTGAAAGAGATGCACATAATGACATGCTTTGTTTGCACACACAAATCAGGGGTGTTTTAAGCAATCTCCCCAAGCTGGGCTTTTTATATGCACAGCTACCTGGTTTGAATATGTAACCATGAGGGTTAAGGATGTACAGTTGAGAGGAAGCATGCACACCACACCATTTTCTACTGAATTATTTCATGGCAACCATGGAGAAGCAAGGGATTGTTATCCTCCCTGTTTTATAGATAGGAACACAGAACTTAACTGACATGCCCAAAATCACAAAGGTGAGTTTTGAAGCTGTGTGTATCTTCAGGGTCTTGCTCCAGAAACCCTCCTGCAAGGCACATGTGCCTGCTCTTGGCTCTAAAATCTCCCAGGGAGTGCTTTTGAGAACATCAATTCATACAGCTTTTTCTCATCTCAGTGAGACTGAAAAAACTGAGATCATCCTCATTAAATCCTCGCTAGTTTAATGGGCAATCCAATACTGAGAGAATGCAGACTATGAAGTTACAAATGCCACTGCAACTCAGTCCATTCTGAGAGAAAGAAAGCTGAGAGATGAGAGGAAGTTATAATTCTCTTTGCCTTTGATCTGTGCAGATCAGCAGCACATGGTATTCCTGGGCAGTGGGAAGAGCTCAGCACAGGCTCCCACGGAGATGAGTGGGACACGCTGTCCTGTGGCTCCTGCACCAGTTCCTGCTGCTGCCCAGGGCCTCCACCAAGGTCAGGTGGAGTTCCCAGGGTTTAATGACAGGCTGCCTAAGAAAAGACACTGGCAGAATGGCTAAATCCTCCAACAGAGCTTTAGCAACCTTAAGAAAATCATCTTGAAGCTGCCCCCACGGCTTCTTCTCATCCAGCACCACAGGGATACACAACACATCTTACCTGTGCCTTTGGCACTGTGCCCTTGGTGCTGTTACAAGGATTTAAGCTCAGGATGGGGAACTCCTGCTCTTCAGACTTGTGTGACTCCAGGCAGCTCTGCCTTTGCCTGATGATCCCAGTCTGATAGAGCGACTCCTCGGGAATCCTGCGGGAACAGCGTGAAAACCACATCGTACTGCCCCATGCACAGCTGCCCCATGCACAACTGCCCCATGCACAACTGCCCCATGCACAGGGAGGCTTCTGTGGGGTAAGGCTGAACCATTTCACCTCCAGAAAATGAGGGGTGGCAAGGTCTACCACAATACTGAAGCGCTGAGAGCAGCACGTGGACAGGGACGCTGCAGAAGCAGCGCTCAGAGATGGATGGCTGACCTTTAGAAGAGGAAAAAATAAATAACTGCACCAGGCAACAGAGGAGCCAGAGTTAGGCTGTGAGCAGCCTTCAGGAGAGGGGAACTTTATAACAAACTGTCACAGAGCCCTGGCATTGCCTGTGAATGCTGCTGTGCAATGCCACACATGGCAAAAAAAAAAAAAAAGTAAGAAAATGGCTAAAATGGCTATAAATCATCATTTTCACACAGTGATTCTGCACTCAGCTATTGCACCAGCAGGTCCCTGAAGGTATCTCTAGAACTTTACCATCCTTTCTGAGGATGGCTCCTGATAGGCACCAGGGGAATGAATGCAATGGTTTCTGGAGTAAATTGGTAGCTAAAAGATGTCTGTGCAAAAGCAACAACATTCATCAAAAAGCATTGGGCTAGGAGCAAGGCAGAGCCATCTGAATACAAGTCATAAAATCCTAGGGTGAATGGTTTCACAACAGAGAAGCCTTGAGTGCCACAGAACAGTGTGAAAGGACTGGAAATTAGGTGCTTCTTTAAGTACTAGGAGTCATTCAGTACTGAAACACCCCAGCAGAAGCTATGGTGGATTTTCTGCCTTGGGATACTTTTGTAAGGAAAACTCTCTTATTTCCCTACACAACCTGTTCCACAACATGGGCAGAAGGACACCTAATGAATTCCTAGGAACAAATAGGAACAACTGATGCTTTGTCCCTCACCAGCCCTGCAGCAAAGAGCTTGGAAGAAGCAGATATCACAGAATGTCACCCTGTGAGCAAGCTGTGCAGCACAAAATTCCCTCTGCCCTTGTGTGCAGCCCAAGGGAGGGGGTGCCCACGTCTCTGGGGGGCAGGAGGGAGGGATGGAGCATCCCACTGGCCTGCTGGATGCAGGTGGAGGTGGCACATCCGTACCGAAGTTCGGGATAAACGTTTTCCAGGTACCACTTGAAGCTGTGGCATTTCAACTTCTTCCTCAGCTCCACTCTGCTCTGGATGCTGTGGGAAGAAAATATCACAGAGATGCAGTGGAAATGATGAAGGTGAGACCCAACACACCACAAAGGGAGGATGAGAGAAACCCATCAGAAATGCACAGGCAGCAAACGCAGGAGCATCAGCAGCTCTGGTTTCTCTCTGTGTGAGCTTGAGCAGTTGTTCTGATCTCTGTCTCTCTGGAGGTCTCACTTGGTAAAATGGCATGATGACATATTGTCATTTTAACAAGGAGTCTGGAGCTGAGAAGGTTCAGGGAAGAGCACAGTCATATAAAAATTATTAGTAAAAAATGTATGCTACTATGCAATAACCCTTACCTGAGCACATTAACGTATTAGGAAATCAAAATATGCTGTTTGCTATTCTAAGTTACTCTTGGTTTGCAGGACTACAGGAGGCCTTGATTTGCAAGAGCACCTGAACAGGCTGGTAAGCCAGCAGAAGTTAATCACACAGTGAAACATCTTTTTCTTTTATTAATCAGGACAAAATTTCTGTTGAGGAAATTTGCTGCACAGTGACGTTTTCAAAACTCCAGCTCTTCCCTGGGCCGGCCTTCACCTGTGGAGCTGTTATGAGCTGGCTTTTATCCTCCAGTACCTCCTTTTTACATAGGTCAACTTCTTTATACCCTAAGCAGAGGACAGAGCTGCTGCTTCATTCTGTGCTGATGGATGGGAGGAGGATATTAATTCAGAGGAAACAGGGGAATCCCCAGGACTTCTAATTATTTATCCTGGAGATAAATAATTATCTCTTCCTTGTGGAAGAATGGCCACAAGGAATTCAAGTCTGGACTCAGAACTCCCTGGAGTCTGAAGAAACTTTCTAAGGCAAAGAAGAGCACGTGAAAATGAGAAATGCAACACAAATATTTACAGAACTCCTGAAAGGGAGGCATTTCTGACTCCTCACAGAATGAATGGCAAATTCCCTGCACACAAACAATTGATGCCTTCCAATAAAGCATCAGCAGGCCAAAAGCTTTATGATTTTCCTGCCTGTTAGCTGCCACCAACACCTCTGGACTCTGGGATCAGAAGTAGTTCTGATGTGTTTGGTTTTACAGTTCTATGTAATGCCAAGGACAGGACAGAGGGTTTTCTCCCACCTGGGTTTGGTTCACTCACTGGAATAAACCAGCACAGCATTTAAACTGGCACTTTATCCACCCCACTGCTGCAGCATGAGCCTATCATCAGTATTTTACTGTCACCACAGAAGTGATGTAGCCACATTTCTCCTCACAGAGAAAAGCAAGGCACAATTCTTCCCAAGAATATTTCTGGGTTTCACATTCTCTGAACATCAGAGAAAGGAAAAACAATTCTTATCTCATTTGCTGTGCCTGTGTTTGTGCCAAAGTTGAATGCAACATGGAGATTGTTTACCCACAGTGGTGGTGTTTTGTTTCCTTGGCCTGTCAGGGCCAGGGGTGTGTGTGTGTGTGTGGACTGTTGGGTGACAGCCACAAGTTCTGTGCAGTGTGAGCAGAGTGGATGCTTAGCAGATTCAGTTTAGGTGTAATGTAATATAGTATGAAATATTATAGTCTAAAAAAGTAATTAATTAGCCTCCTGATATCGCTGGAGTCCTCCTCATCATTCCTCCTTCCTCAGGGCCCTCTCAGCACAGCTATAAAGCAACACAGGTGGGTTTCCACAGCAGGGGATGCCTCTGTGAGCACCCAGTGCAGCAGGCAGGGCACAGGCAGCAGCAGAGGCAGAAGGATCCTTACTTCCCAAAAGGCCTCCCCTGGGCTGCAGGCCGGGCAGCGTAGTAGTACTGCTTGAACTCGTCCATCCACACCTCGGCCGTGCGCTTGGTGTTCCTGGGGAGGGCAAGGGGACACGCTGAAACCAAGGGGACATCTTCCAGAACTGATCCATCCGCCCTCCTCCCGGCCTCAGCTTCACCCAAGCCCCCTCTGAGCCAGCCCATCCCTCACTGCTACTGAAGGTACTCCTTCCTTCCCATTGCCCCAAACACATCAGGCAAAATAAAGCTTGGATGAAGAATTCACCATTTCAAACCCAGCTGGATGCTTTGCATCCACCAGACTCAGAACTGTAGGTTGTCTCAAGCATCATCTCCAAGGCAGGAGTGGCTGGGGTTTTATTTAGTGGATGGGAAGGAGCTCTGAAAAGTTTGCCAAAGATTTGCAAGGATTTCCTTTGTTTCAATCCTGAATGGACTCTCCTGCTTTGGGCTCCTGGATTTCACTGAGGCATTCAAAACTTGAAGAGAAAGTGGCCCCACCACAGTGCTGCAGCATGAATGCCACTCTCCCACATCAGCCAGGTGTCTGCAGAAGGTTTCTGAACATCAGCAAATCTTCTGCTGGCTTCAGATGGCTCTAACTCCTCTTGCAAATGGATTTCCTGCTCCATGCCTATCTGCCTGTCCCTGCCCTGACCAGGGGAGTTCTCCAGTCTCCTGCTCCAAGGCAGGCCAGTGCCTCCAAGCTATTGCTGCCACACCACTAAGCTGCAGGTGCTGTGGGCAGGCTCTGGACCCTGCCAAGTGCCAGGAGCCCAGAAAAGGATTATTCTGCACATGAAGCCAGCACTGCACTGCGCTGGAGCCTGAGCTGTCTCTCACACTGAAGTAGGGGCTCTGTGGAAAAGCAATCAGTATCTGGCAGAAAGGTGGAGATATTTTTTGCTAACACCTCTATTTAAATAGAAGTGCTATGGAGCTTCAGGTTGCCAGGAGCTGCTTCTCCTCCCAGTCTATACACTGTAACATTAAGGCTGATAGATACCCTAAGGTTAATAACATCCCAGCTCCTAATGCCTACAGGTACATTTCTCCAGACTGATTCTCAGCTCCTTGCTGATTCATGGGCTTCTTCCTTTCTCTCTCTCTCTCTAAGGCAATAGTCTAAGTGCTCTTGCTCAAGAGATGACTAAATCAGTGTCTACATCTGTACCTAACCTTGCCCAACGTGCAGGGTTCCTTTGTTTGGCTTCCTGATCTCATTTGAGTTTACAAGAAACACGGGGATAAGAGCCAAGGCTCACACCCAGGCATGACACAGCCATCCCCCAAGTCCCCAGGGGCCTGTGCCTGGCAGGGAGTCACAAGAGCTGCTCCCATCCAAGCTCCCCTTGCTCCTCCTGCAGGTGATGCAATGCAGGTGCCACCTTCTCACTCCGGTTTTGACAGGAGAGGTTTTGCCACATCCCAGGCCCCTCTGAAGTAGTCTTGCTTCACTACTGAAAGCAAGAGCCCTCCTAGTGATCCTCAAATTTGTGCTCTGCTCCTTGATGATGCCCTGTGCCTGTCACAGCCATGCCCTTCCTGCTCCACCCACTGTGTGGCTGGAAATCACAGGTGTTAGTGAGATGTTGTCACAGACATATTTTCTGAAAAATCCTTTCGTTGGGATTTTCTCCCGAGAAGCTGAGAGGCCTCAGAAACAAAATGTAAACAATAATTATCTGCTGCTGTGGAATGCAGCAGATAATTATTGTTTACATTTTGTTTCTGAGGTGCATCACCTGTTTCACAGGTGCATCTGTGATTGGTCTCATGTGGTTGTTTCTAATTAATGGCCAATCACAGTCCAGCTGTCTCAGACTCTCTGGTCAGTCACAAGATTTTATTATCATTTCTTTCTTTTCTAGCTTTCTGATTAAATCCTTTCTTCTATCTTTTAGTGTAGATATATAATTTTCTTTTAATATATCTAATATTTCATTTTCTTTTAATATAATATATATCATAAAATAATAAATCAGCCTTCTGAAACATGGAGTCAAGGTTCTCATTTCTTCCCTCGTCCTGGGACCCCTGTGAACAGCACCACAAGAAGTGTCATTTGCACTCCCCCCTGTCTCAAGCAAAGGCTGAGGAAGCTGCAGAGAGCCTGGGTCAGCAGTAGCCCTGTGGCAGATAGCTGGGTCTTCACAAATGCTGCTTTCTGACAGTGGGAAGCCCACACTAAAAGGAAAGCCTGCTGGGTAAGCACTCACAGCTGCAGGTTAGCTCAGAAACAACCCTGCATTTACTGTAAGTGCCCCCAGTGCTTTTCTCTGTCATTCACTCAAGCAACAATGTTCAGCCTCACACTCTAAAAATGGAGGAAATCCTTCTTGACCTCACTAGCTGCTCTGATCATCTTTCCCATGCCTATTCCCACTTCTGGATTCCCTCCTTCTTTGCCTGACGTTTTCAGGATCTTTGCCCATTTCCAGGGTCTTAGCCCATTCCAGGCAGCCCTTTCAGTGCCTGATTCAGCCTGTGTTGCTGTGTGTGAGGAGAGGTGCCTGCCCTCCCTCCAGCTGGTATGCCCTGGCAGTCCCTCTGGGCCATGGTGCAGCCCTCTGCTGACTCTGCTCAGGAGAGAGCACAGCCTGGAGACAGAACCACGCTCTCCAGCAAGATGTCTGGCTCCCATCCCACAGAGGCACTGGGAACCAAATTTTCTGGTTCAGCTGAGCCACACTGAGCCCTCAGCTAAGGTCACTGGCTACTGACAGACATTGCTGGCAGCCTCATTTCAGGTCATTACAAATGTGTTCTGGTGACCTCAAGGTCTAAACCATTTGGTGTCCCAGCAGCCAGCACTCAGGGATGTGCTGGGGCCATCCCTCCATTTCTGTGCTGATGAAAGCTACCACATGAATGTCCTATTTCTGTCATATTCTCAACACTGGAGAAATCCTATGGGACACTTGTATTGACTTACATTTTCTTCAACTCAAGTAATTCCTGCCCAAGGATATTTCAAAGTTTTCCTAACAAACTTTCCTGCTTGTCTTCTCTGCTCCCCTCTCTCTCTACAAAGCTAATTCACAAAAAAAAAAAAAACCAAAAAACAAAACAAAGTAAGTACAAACCACTTACTTGATGTATGTATTGGCATTTCCCTCTGGAAAGACGTAGGGATGTTTCTTCCTAAAGACGTGCCCAACACGGCTGCAGGGGATGATTTCCAGGCTCCCTCCACACATCCACACACGGAAAGAGATTTCTGTAAGAGAAGCAGCTTCAGCACTTTGTCTTTCTGTCCTAGAGCAGTCTGAATCCTGATGTTAGCTCTTACTTCATCCTCTGCAACATTAAACTGGGGTAAATCAATTACCAGACTGGCTTTCCTAGGCACAACGGCCTTAAAAGCACATTTCAAAGCTTCTTTGCAAGCTGTTTGAAGTCAGTGCACTTGAAACCTGCCTCCAGCACAGCAGGTGCAATCACAATGCTCTCACAATGTGGGACCATAAGCAGGTCCCTTTTCACACACTGCAGAATCCTCTCGCCAGTTTTGTGCCTCCGTCATTACTCCTGCACTGCCTGTTTCAGAGTCACTTCCCTCCAAAGGGCTCTCAAGTTCACCAGGAGAAGCTATGAATTCTCTCCATTAATGACTACACCTGTCATTATCTTTATGAGCCCACCACTGACTCTGCAAAGTGGACAGAGAGCTGTGCATCCACTGCCTGTCCCAAAATGGACGGGAGCTCACCCTGCCCAGATACTCTGGGCCTTGAGTGCCAATGCTGCAATCAAGTAAGGCACACACCTTCACACAAGCAAAGGTCAGCGGTGGGAGGCATTATCCCAAAAATCTGGGTAGGTTGTCAGTATGGGAAATGTCTCCCAGTCACTCCAAGCCACTCTGGGGCTGGCCCACAGGGCCCTTCTCAAGGAAAATGAGCCTGTGGCACAACTGACAGCAGAAGTTATAAAGCTCTTGGCAGGGAGCTGGATGAGGTAGGAAGGGTAAGCAGCATGGCTGTTCTAATGGGTCCATCTGCTCCTGATGCTTATGAAGCTATGAATCTGTAGCTCTATTGTCAGACAGTACCAGCGTGGAAAAGAAATGAAATTAAAATGAAAAGGCTTCTGCAGTTCTCTGAGTCCTATTTTATCATCTGTTGACAGTGCAGAGCTATATGTAGCATGTATCTACTGCAAAACTAGTAATTCCTCTTCACACACACCCTCCCCCATTTAACTACAGAAATAAGACAGGAGAGCACCCATTGTCTTTGTCCCAGCAGTCCCCTCCTTTATGCCAGCACAGGGATGACTCGTCCCCAGGTCGGATGCTGGCAAGACAAGCACCTGTGGCAGGAATGGGGCAGTGCCAACAGGCCTCCTTCTCCTCCAAGGGTTCAGAAAGCTTCCATCCCTCCAAGAACAGCTGACAGCTTCAGGGAGGCAAAGGCCAGTTGGAGCCTGGACCTCCAAAGCCCTCTGAGCACACAGGGCTCAGCCCTGAGCTGCTGCAGAGGTGGGAGCCAGGTCCACGTTGCTCCCATCCTGCTCCCAGCACACCTCCCTGCTCCTGAGCTGAAGGAAAGGGAAGGCTGACACAGCTGCAAAGCCTTCTTGCCTCGATGCCTGGATCCAAAATTCAAGGCTTTGGTCCCGTCCCCAACAGCTGGCCCTGGCAGCAGGGACAAGCAATGGCAGGGGTGGGAAAGCACAGCAGGGAGCAGTATTCCTTCCCAGAAACTCCCTCCCCTTCCCTTCACTGCCGTGTTTACATGCAAGAGCTGCCAACAGCAGCTGGAGCCTCACCACTTTCCCCAGTGCTGGGTATTAAGAGGCCAATAAAACGTGCCCTTCTGCCATGTCCTGGTGCTATATTGGGAGCAGGCTTCATCACAGCTGCAGGGAAATGAGATTATGGCAGGATATGGCCACTCTCTGAGCTGCTGTTGCTGCTCTCAGTTCTCCTCACTGCTGTCACTTGTCTGTGTGTCACAGCACTGGCCTGCTGCTGTCACTGGGCTGTGTGTCACAGCACTGGCCACTCTGCTGGCTCTGCTGTGTCAGTCATAAGGGCACCCAATACAAGGGGACAACCAGCTGAGCAGCTGTGGAGCACAGAGTGGCTGCTGCAAGCTGCCTTCCCCTCCTCTGCTCCTTCTGCTCAGCCTGAGAGAAGAGCAGCTCCCTGGTGTGCTGAAAGACTCACACCGTTCAGTCCTTGCCTGGCTTTTCAAAGCCTAGTGAAGAGGCCATCCCTGTGTATTGTGAACTGGAATGAGGACACAGCACACAGGAGATGCTGAGGAGTCTGAGCTCTCTGCACCCTGCAGAGCCTGCTCCAGGTACAGCAGAAACAATAAAAACTCAGATTTCCACAGGGAGGGATCACCCATGGAGCCATCCATGGCAGATCACAAACAAGATCTCCAGACAGGCAGCCAAGACCCAAGTGCCCCAAGGGAAAGCAGAGTGAAGCACCAACTAAAGCATGGTAGAGGGTCAGCTCAGAGGAGCCAGGGGAGCAGGAACCAACAGCATGCTTCCCCTGACCCTCAGGAGATGCTGCCAGTGCACATGGCCACTCCAGGTGACCCCCAGGAGGGGGTGTGAGCAGTACATGTTGGGGTGTGCTGGACTTGGCCTTCATTCAGCAAAATACCTCTAGCACTTCTTGCTGGCCTGCAAGTCCTTCTTGCCCTTACTCATCTACAGGGAATTCAGTAAATTGAAGATACAAAACACCTATGGGGTCATCCTTCAAAGGCAAACGTTCACTTTTGTTCTGCCTGATGGGACACTCTGCCCTCCACTGCTGCACCTGCAGGAGGTGGAGCTGTGAGCCAGGCATTCTTGGGCTTCTTGCCCATTTCCTGGGCTTCTGCTCCCAGGAAAATGGGCAAGATGGGATGTGCCCTGCTGCTAAGCAAACCTGCACTTTGCTGTCACAATGTTAACCTTGATTTTGCTTTCCTCTGTCACAGGAGGCCGTGGTACCCCTGCAGCACTGCCAGTGCATGTTTGGTCAGGACCAGCCGGCTGGGGCATAGCACCAGCAAGGGAAACCTCTCCTCTGCAGGATGGGTCACAACCAGGCATAAGGAGCACAATGCCTGCTGTTAGAGGGCACGGGACAAGCTGCCAGGATGGAGCTTCTCCCAGGAGCAGGCTGTCCTGCCACTGCTCATCTCCCAGGAGCAGCTCCTGCTGGCTGCTGCCACAGACAAATGATGGGCACAGACAGGCAGCAGGTCAGGCACAGCATGGCAGCTCCTCTCCTGCTCTTCTCCTGTCCAGTTCCCTTCCTGAATGCTTTGTTTGGGCTATTGATCCAGCAGGGAAGGTGGAAGGGCTGCCACTCCCTTCCCAGGTTTCCTCACAGCCACCCCACTCAGATACTTTGGGCCACTTCAAAGACAAGACAGGGAGAAAGCATGAAAGAGTGAGATTCCGACTGCATAACAAGATAGAAATAAATAAAATATATCCAGAGGGACAAGGCATGTGAAGGAAACACCAGTGCCAGGCAGTGGATGGATTACTGCAAGGCAGCAGCATCTGCTCCCCTGGATGAGTGACAGCATGGCTGTGTGTGTGGAGACACAAGAGCCTTCCTTCCTGGCTAGCCCCACTCCCCAGAGGTGCAAAGCTATTAAAGCCAGGTTCTGATCTGTCTGCCTGACACTGAGTGCCTCCCCCTTCTTTCCTGGGTACAGTCTGTTGTTCTGATCCACAGCATCACTGCAGCTTCAAAGGGAGAACAGCACAGCCCCATCCAGCTCTGCTGGACAAGGAGACAAGGGACAGGCTGTTACTTCTTTCATATGCCCTCTCAAGTGTGCTTGCAGATTTCTTTATGTCCCTCTTGTCCCATGATAAGGGCCAGAGATCACGGAATTTAAGTGAGCTCAACCCTTTTTTTTTTTGGTGCAGGAAAAGTGACAGGATCAGAGAGAGCTGGGCAGCTCTCAGCCACCCAGGGATGCAGGAATGGATAAGCAGCCCTGGTACTCTGCCACCTGTTTGCTGCATGCTGATGGAGCTACAGTTTCAGGTACTCTGCCAACTCAAGGAAGGACTGATACCTCAGCTCATAGCTTAGAAATGCAGTCATTAATGGATTAAGACAAATTCTTTGCTCTATTAAGGAGAAAATAAGACCAGGAAGGAATAGAAGGCTGCATGTAGCGTTCTCTCATCTGTTGGTAACACCAAAGCTGCCAGCTGTGTGGTTGAAGGTATTTACCTACAGGAAATCAAAGCAGCATGGAAGGCAGGCAGTCCCAAGTGCCAACAATTGCTCACTTCCCATCATTCGTGGTTGCTGGATTTGTCACTCTCCTAAGACCACAACCTATGAATGTAAATGAGGGAAACCACCCAGAGCATTCAAAGTGAAGCCTGAAATGAAACCTTGTATCCATCTGGCATGTCTCAGAAAGGAAAGCTAATACAGCAAGGCATAGGAGGATGAAGAACAACTCACCAAAGTTCTCTCCGCCCCAGATGTCCATGGCACTGTCATACTTCCCCAGGTGGTTGAACCAGGCCTTGTCGATCACAAACAGCCCCCCAGCAATGATGGGTGTCCTGAAGAGTGCACAAGGAGAAGAGGACACACTCTCAAGCACTGCTGCAGCACCTGGATGCACAGAAGCCCTTCCCTTTTCCTCCCCTTCCATGACCAGGACATCACCTTCTCACCAAAAGGACAAAACACCCCAAAACGCATCTGAGCCTTTCTTTCAGCCACCTTGGCGTTCTGCTGCCAATCATAAATTGCCTGGCACTTAATGACTGGCTAATGCACCCGTCAGCACAACTCCTACAAGCCCAAAGTTGACAGCCCTGATTGTAGGCTTCAGCATCAAAAATGCACTTAGCACTCGGGGGTTATTCACTCAGAAGGGCTTTTTGCCTGGAGCCAGCCTATTAAGAGCACCATTCCACCGGGGAGAGGAAGGCAGAGCCAATTCAGAAGGGCTTTTTAAAAGCCATCACTAGCTGTGTGATCTTTATTTCAAACCAGGGTTATTTTTTTTTTCCTTTGGATTAGCTAAGAAAACTGCACAGAGAAGGCCCATGGAGGAGGGGAGGGCAGACCCAGAAGAGAGCTTGAGGGGACTTGCTGCTTGCTGGCACAAGTCCCATCAACTGGAGACCGTGTGGATGCTTCAGCAGAGGCTTGGGAGGAACTGGGGTGATTGCTGTGCCCAGGCTAATCTCCACAGTCCCCTACACTGCAGAGTGATCAGGAATGCCAGGCCAGCCTTTGGGAAGCCAGCGAGAGCTCCTGTTAACAGCAGGATCCCAAGGAGAAGCAGTGCTCTTATCCCCTGGGAGCCTTCTGAGGCCCTGAGCTTCTCCAACACCTGGGATCCTCCACACCTCACATCTGGCTGGGGCTGCAGACACCAGCAGCAGGCCTGCTGCCAGCAGAGATTTCCAGCAGAATGAAGGACTCCTCCATCCCATGGCATGAGGACAGATGGCACCTCCTCTCCTGCTCAGCTTTGCTCCCTGCCCTGCACATCCACATTTCTGAGGAGTCTTCAGTGAGGTACAGAAGAGTAGTGCTGGCAAGGCTAGACTAGATACCAAGTTTATCATGAGGACACTGCCTTATTTTTAGGTGGTAGCTGAACTGAGAGAGGCAGTTGTCCACAGCACTGGGCTTTCCCCCTAACCATAATCCTTAGCACTACCAAAACCCCCAGTAACCATAAACACACCCCCCCTTCCATCTTTGTGGCATTCTCAGGCTTCAGGGTCGGAAGGTGAAGCTGTACTGCAAAACCCAGGCTAGCCAGGAGCTCGCTGGAGGTACCACAAGTTCAGAGCTGTCCTGGAAGAGATTCCACACTGCTGTGGAGCATGGGGACACATGTGAGGGTCACATGAGAAGCCTGTCCTGCCCCTGGGGTGCTTCCTTCCCCCTCCTGACTTACTTAATGGGCTCGGTGGGATCAAGTCGTTTGGCCTTCTGCTCTGGGGACAGCTGCTCCCATTTGAAATGCAGACTCCAGTCAAAACCTAAAACCAGAGTAGAGAAGTGCCATGGGGAAATTAGAAATTGATATGGATTAGGAGGCAATGCAGGCTGCAGAAGCTCTGTTTGATGGAACATTTTCCCCACTTTCAAATGACTTCAGCCACAGAGATGCAGCTCTTGAGAGTAAAGTCCAATGCCTAACATATTTCACTACTACATATGAACAAGAAACAGCACATTGCATTACAATTTCAAAGTCAAGCGCTCCAAAGGCAGGAAAAGTCAGAACTAAAGCTGCTGCTGAAACCTAGTCCCCCTGTGCACACTCTGATGGACACTGTGTGCTCCAAATAGCACAGGCATACTAATCAGCACTACACTTGCATCCTCCAGCTGCTGCCTAGACATCTCCCATCTCCTCCTGTCGCTTCCAGGGCTGCCCAGGGTGGCTTTGACGTGACCCTTCTTTCCTGCTTGACCACCTCCACCCACTGTAGCAAGCACACTGCTCACAGCACACCCCCCTGTGTGTGGAGCAGCCTGGGAGCAGCAGCACCGAGCAGCATTCATGTGCTTTTCTGTGAGGCAGCAGGAGACAGAGGCGTGGGGCAAAGGCCAGTGCACATTCCCGCCACGGAATGGACGCCCACAGGACATGCACAAAGCTTGGACTCACCTCCCCTGAGGTCTGAGGAAGCTGCCACGTAGGCAAAAGTGTCCAGGTTGATGATGTCAATAACGGGACTGACCACCCGGGTGGGATCCTGCAAAGCAGAAGCAAAAGCACCCGTGACTTCAGGTGACACCACTCAAACTGGGCAAGGGGCTCCAAACTCCTGGAGACACCAAGGGCCTGCAAACATTGGTGTCATTCAGTTTTGCCTGGGACAAGTGTCCCTCACTGCCTCCTCCTCAGACTGTGCCTGTACTTGGCAGCCAGCTGGGCTGGATGCAAAGCTCCTTCTGCCTTTTACAAATCCACCAAAATATTCCCCTTTCACCTCCCTTAAATATTTTTAACTGGATTTCAGAAGTCAAGTGACAAACAGGCAATTGAAATGACAGAGGATAAACACAGCCAAATAGCTTAAATATGGGTATGTTTTTAAATGCACCAACTGTGGCAGTACAGTTAGTTTTGCCAAAGTTGTGAAAGGGTTAAAAAAGAAAGACCTGATTTATTCAAAATAGTTGGTGGTGATTTAATTAACATCTTGTTATGGGCAAAGAGATTATACAAACAGTTATGAACAAAAATATCTACAGGAGGAAGAGACTCTGACAGCTTTGACTGGTCTCTTATCTCCCTTTTTCTTTTCAAAAATCCCAAACTCCAATTATAGCTCAAACTTCAAGGTTTTACCCTCACCAGATCAAATTGTTTTTCACAGCTATACAAAGCAAAGCATCTGAGCACACTCGGGCTTGCTCTCTCACTGGGGAAGGACTTTGTTTTAGAAATTAGTCCTGACAAAGAAGCATTCAAATGCAGCTGTAGGAAGAAGCAACCAAAGGCCATGAGCTGGGAGCTGGACTATAGCTGATTTTCCAATTGAGCATGACAAATACTTGGTATTTCCATAACAGGGTCAAGCCAGGGGTCTCACTATCACTTTTTGTGAGTCAAACATCTCACTGAAAAGGGCAAAGTCTGCTGCACCTCTGTATTGCACAGGGAAACACAAGCCACATCCAAGCAGGGTGAGCCTTTCAAACCCTCCAAAGCTATCCTGGCTGCTGCACAGTGTCCCCCAGCCTGCCACAGCTCAGCACAGCCAAGCATCCTTTAATTAGGGGGAAGGTTTTAAGCAATGCAAAACCTTCTGCTTTGTGTGCTGAGCAGTGCAGGGAAAGGATTGCATCCACTCATTTAAAACCTGTCCCTCAAGCATCTTACTGGGGAGCACTTCTAGCTGGCTGACACCCACCCCCAGTTCCAATTCCACTCTGCTCACTGCACGCCACAGCTTCTTGTAGGAAAATCCCCTTCACATCAGGGCTGAGAGCACTACTGCAAGATGCTAACCTTGAGCAAGCAGTGCTGTCCTCTCCCTGCCTCACTTTCCCTGCCATGTCCTGGGAACATATATATTTGCTCAGCTTTCATGAAGGTCTCTCTGACCCTCAAAAGAAAAGCATGGCATGCTCAAGAGCACAGTGCTGTTGCTATGATTTATTTTGGGCTAAGCACCAGATCTTATTATAGGCAGCTTCATCTTTCTGGTTTTTTTTTTTTGCTACCCACCCATACCAGGGCATGTTAATATTAACAACAGCCAAACCTTCAATTCTCTCTCACAAACCTGAGCATTAATTTCTGCAATGCTGTTCTCAAACACACTGATGTATGGATCTAAACCAACAGGAAAAACCTCTGAAAATGCTCCTGAAGATAACAGATATATTTCAGCCTTAGAGAAGGGCAGCGTGGCTCTCAGCCTCTACATCCTGACCTTGTAATGGACAACAAAAAGGGCCACAGTTGCTCCTCTAGCCCCATAGCAGGATTAGGCAAAGATTAGGCAGGCTGCCCTTCATGTGTCTCCTTTTTCCCTGGAAAGCACCAGACTGGGGGTATTTGAGCTGGGAGTGGGGGGTCACCATTCATTGGTTCATCCCATTTGCAAACCCAGTTTTGGGATGAGCTTGTTGAGTCATACTGTAAAAATACCTTGGGATGGATAACTACATTTTTAGAAAAGTTACTCGGTTGAAATGCACCATTAATGACTTTAGAGATATTTGTTCCATAAGCAAAAATAAGAGCCCAGGCCCACACCCTCAGCATGCTGGTGTGAGGCACTGGCCATCACTGCTGCTCCCTGAGACAGGCACAGGGCTGAGACCCCCCAGACCCTCTCTCTTTCCCCCACTCTCCATCACTTGCTCTTCCTGCTGGTTTCCAAATCCATGTGCTGCCCACACCCACCAGTGGGGGGGAAACCATCAGCTGCTGGGAAAGCTCGAGGTGGAGCTCGAGGGGCACCTCCACATGGGTTCATGGTGGCACACATGGCTCTGGCACTTCCCACCACGGAAAGGGGCAGGAATAGCTGAGAAAATAAGAGAAGCAAAGAGTGGGGTGGCTGAGCTGTGGTGGCAAAAGTGATGGGTGTGCCTTCAGGCACTCGCCGCTCGTTTGCTTGGAACTTAAAGCACATCAGCTCAAAACAGGCTGTTCCTGGGAGCAACAGAGTGAGGAAAATGCTCCTCCTAGGCAGCTGATCCTCATGGAGCAGTTGGCCAGGGAGCCCATCTCTAGAGCACAGCCTGAAGGTGGCAGCAGTAACATTTCATACACTTCACTGATCAATACCTTAACCCTGCTGGCAAGGATGGGTACGGTGGGCCTGGAAGGAGATGGAGAACTCTGCCCTTATCCTGCAGCTTCTGTGAGCAGTTAAAAAGCAGGCATGCAGCACCTCTCTGGCTTTGCAGGTTCCTCAACACTCTTTGTAGTACATCTCCCCTGCTGCCTGAGGCTGCAAGATGCTGGGCAAGGTCAGGGCAGCATGAGCAGCACTGCAAGCTCACAGACTGCCTTACTTCCAGCTGGGGAAAGATTCAATCCAGAAGAGTTTACAGAGGTGATGTGTGTGTTTCATGCTGCATTCAGACCACAAGACACTGGAACTCCTCTGGTGATGCTGCACATGGCACTCACATTCACCCATCCTGTGGATGCTGGACATGGGGCACTGTCTTGGATCTGTGTGGGAAAGCAGATCTGCCAACCCCCTTCCTGCTGCCTTCACTGCCCTTCTCCTGACAAAACACATCAAAAGCTCTGCCTGGGAAAGAGGCAATTGCTCTGCATACTCCTTACTGAAGTACAAGCAGGGCTTTGGCACAAAGCAAGGAATGCCTGCCCTTAAAAAGCCCAGAGGAACAAGTGATGCTGTAAAGCTTTGTAGTAAATCCCAGCCTGGACAGGCGAGCCATGAGGCTCCAGTGGGATATCACAGCATGTGCTCTCATAACTCTACCAGAGCTGATCAATGATATGAACAGCCCATTTCCATCACATTTCCATCTATCAGCAGCTCTGTGGCCCAGCCTGCAAACTGAGGCTGGGACCTCTCCAGTGCTGGTTGTGCTACAAGTGCCAGCAGCAGCAACTGCCCTCACCCGTGTGGAGGGAGCTGACCTGGTGCTGTGCCCCCCTGCCCCTGGTCCCATCGCTGACACACAGAGGGGATGCCCAGCCCAGCCATCACAGCTGTCACATCTGCAGGTGTGAAAAGCAGGATGCCTTAGGGGAGGGGCACTGTGAACACCAGGCAGGCAGGTTTTTCCATGACCCACCACCTCAGCTGCCCTCATGTCAATGCAACTCAGGAGTTATAAAATTGCTGAGTAATTAGCAGCGGCCATCAGGAGCCAGAGGTGTAGCAGAGGTGCAGCAAGGGTGAAGGGAAAGGATGGGGCATCCACACCCTGGATGCTGGTGCATCAATCCCTGCACCCTGCTGCCAGCAGGTCACGGGCACAGAGCTCCCCTGACTCGAGTGACAAGGCGCCAGCAGCCTCTGTGTGCACGTCTGGCAGGACAGTCGCTGCCAGAGAAAGGGGAATGTCATTGTCTGCTCCGAAATCAGCAGAATTTAAATCCTATTAAATCAATTTATTAGCGCTTAATTTGCATGAAATTAAATTCGGCCCCTATTCAAGGAGCCGTCACTCCCTTAAATCATCATCACTGAGCATTTTACATGAGCCTAATTAAAATCTCTGCTGGAGCACTGCCCACGTATTCCCCTATCACCACTCAACCTGTGCTTGCCCGTTAGAGTCCCACTGCCCCAGGAGACACCTCATCCCACCCACCCACGTGCCCCCCCAGTCACACTGACACCCCACCTGCCTGCTGGGTGGAGGAAGACCAGAAAAGGCCACTTTGTACCCCAAAAAGGCCACTTTGTACCCCAAAAGGCCTCTCTGTACCCCTTACTTGGACGCTTGCATGCAGCTGGTTATGGTTGGATGGTCCCACCCACTGGGAGGAGGAAGAGGAGGGGGACAAGGGGATGCATCCCCTGAGGGTGACTCTGGTGTCTCAGGAGCACTCACCTCCTTGATCCTCTGCAGCAGAGGGAGCAGCCAGTCCTTATTCACCTCGCAGTGGCTGTCCAGGAAGGTCAGGACACCTGCTTTGGCCACGTCTGCCCCTCGGATTCGGGATCGGATCAGACCTGTTCAGGGACACACCGCGTCAGCTGCTCCCCACGTGGCTGGGTAACATCTCCCCCACTCGTGCTTCTCCTGGGTTTTAACCTGCCTAAATCCCACCCAGATAAAGCATGGGCCAGGTTCATTGTCTTCTTTCTGGTGCTGCAAGGTATGCCAAGCATTTCCTGAGATCCCCAAAGAAATAAATGGCTCCACCAAGGTCACTGATTTATGGCATTTACGCCAATATGTAGTTTGCACAATTAATTCTGCTGTCACCTTCTGGGACAAAACATGACTCAAAATGCTTTCATGTCCCTCGGCAGGCAACAAATCTAACACAGATGTGAGGCAGTGGGGAATGGGACAGAGGAGTTGAGGGTGGGAACACCTCAGAATTAAGCTTTTCCCAGACTACTAATTTTTCCTGCTGCAACCCCTTTTGCTTCCCAGCGATCCCCAGATCTCTCTCCCACCCTGAAGGCACTGCTGATCTGCAGCTCAAGGGGAACACATTTTCCATCAAGGAAAGAGGGTTGGCTTTTCACGGTGCCTGACTTATCAGGGTCATCATGGTGAATTTGGAATCATTTGGAGATGGGAATGGATTGCTGCACACATCAAACAAGAGGGGAAACAGGTGACTCATGGGGAGCGGAACTTCTTTATGAAGGAGAAACAGTGGCAATACAAGGGGACATATGGGCAGATAAAAAGAGACAGGATTTCAGGGAACAGCCACACATCAGCTTCATGCAGGAAGTCACTGATTTTCATACTAAAATTCCCTAGGGGAAAGGGCTTAAGCACCAGCCTCTGAGCCAGAGAGGGAACACGTGAACAAAGCCTGGAGCATCCAGAATTTGCCAAGGTCTCCTCCTGCAATGCAGACTTGTATCTCCCTGTATCTCTCTCTGTGACTCCTAAGATCTTGCGTGTAGGTACGCTCTCCTTCACCCACCCCTGCCCTTCCCAAACCCTGGCAGCCCCTGGGGGACACAGTTTAAGTGATGTACTCAGCAAGGTAAGGTTGAGTTCCCACACTGTGACTGATTTATAGAGCACCAATAACTGCAGGTCCCTCAGGTGCTGGAGATGAGCACACACGTACCCCCACAAGGCAGGGGAGAAAGGTGAGAAGGAGGTGCAGGTCTATGGAGATCTCCCTTAATCTCCTGCCAAAGCAAGAATGTCTCTTACACCCATGGGACCTGATGCCACCCTGTCACCAGGCCTGCAGAGCTGAAACCCTCTGCAGAAAGAATCCTCAGAGAAAAGAACCTTTTCCACTCCTCAGTCTCCTCAACCCAACACTGACCTGGATGCACACCTTGGACTTGCAGCATCAGAAAACTTCTTTGTTTTTAGTTATCCTAATACTGCAAACCAGGATTTGAAACACACAGGCTATGGGGAATGGGGAGATGTCTCCAAAGGTTGCCAGCAGCAGTCCAGTAGGACATGCATTCATCCTCCATACAGCCCTTCTTAATCTCTCAAATATAATTAATTATTACAAAAAAAAAAAAAATCCCACAGAAGCAGCAGGAGCAGATCTTCTCTTTTTCATTAGAGCTAACATCTTTACAAATAAGACCCGGGGCTTTGTTTTGCCTGTTCTAATTTTCTGGCTAATAAGCTACAGCTGAGCCTCACTGGAAATCTTAATAGCCCCATCTTTTTCAGCAAGAGAGGGGAGATCCATTTCAAATCCCAGCTCTTTATCACATTTTCTTTACTCAGGCTCCCCCTTATTCCCAGGAGCCACTGACCTCCTTGCTGACCACTGCATGGAGGGGGTTCCCCATGGCCCCATGAGTGACCCACCTCCCAAAATCTGCGTTTCCCACGTGGGCTGAGGGCAGGCAGCTCTTACCTTCCCGCCGGCCGTTCCGCAGGCACTTCACCTTGGGCAGCTGGCCCAGCAAGCGGCAGTCATCGGCTGGGGACACACAAAGGGAGGACAAAGTCACCCACACAGTGCCTCTGGCAGCAGAAATGGGGACTCCCAGGAGAGACTGGGAGCGGGGAGAGGACCCTGTCCTGTTCTGGCTGATGGTTTGTTAGGGCAATGGCGCTGCTGGGTCGCAACAGCCCTGCCCCTCAGCTCGTGAAGCATAAATTGGGCCTGGCAGAGCAGCAGTTTTCATAGAACTAGTGTAAATTCAGCAGATTTACACTGAGAGCAGCTGAATTATGCTCTAAAATCAGCATAGAAAAGTTGTGGTTCAGGTCAGAATCTAAATTTCTGCACATTAATGCAAATGACTATTTTTGGTAGCTGCAAAGCAACGCGCAAGCTGTTGATGCGTGTCTGCCTGGCGGGGCAGGAGCTTCCTGTGGTGGCCTGGAGCCTTCAGCATGGAGAAAGGGATGCTCAGAGAGAGCCCTGTGGAGCAGCTGGGGGCTTCTCATGCCCTGGGCAAGAGGTCCATGGGGCAGAAAGGCCTGACAGCCACCTGCAGCTGAGCTAGGGAGGTCCTGCAACCTTACACGCAGCCCCGGGATCCATCCTCACCCAGATTTCTCCCAGCAAAGTGGAGGATGTCAGGTGTAACCATCACAGCCCCCTCCACCTCTACACACCCACACTATGACCTCCACAACCCGTTCAGGGCTCTCACTCCTCTGCCTCTTCTTCCTCAGCACTATAAACACAGAGGTGAGTGTCCCATCCCCTCTGCCCCAACCCCTGAACCCACACACCCACCCTGAGCACTTTCTCCCCCTCCAGAAATCTCTGTCAGCAAGAGATCACTGTACCCACACCCCTAACAATTCAGGGACAGAGCTGGAACAGGGGAGCAGAAGTGACAGGGCTTGGCTGTGGACTCACAGTGAAAATCTGCTGGGGATAGTGGGAACTCACGTGCTGAAGAACTGCATCCCAGTGAATTACAGGTCAGCAGGCAGAGGGAGGTGAGAAATGAGACACAACTGGGCACGAGATAAAAGCACTAATTGCTTGGGGTGGGCTGCAGGGAAAAAACTGACCATGTGTGTGTAGTGCATTATGCAAATGCATGTATTTTATGTAAATGCATGCAGAGCAGATGCCAGCAGGCTCAGACTATCACACCAAAGATGTCAGATAGCTGAGAAGTGCTGAGTAGCTGAGGGGCTGCCCTAAGTCACACAGGAAACAGGCTCCCCTCTGGTGCCCTGGGACGAGTTAAAACCCAGCCCTGCTCCTTTCTCCCTTGGCTCCCTTGCTGGGACAGGGGAGCTGTGCCCCAACAAACCTGCCTCCTTCCAGGAAGGCAAGTGCTTTGCCTAATTTAGCCAAATACCTGCCATTTACTTCCTCCACCCTCCAAAAATCCTGATCTGCTCTTCCGCAGGGCAGCTCAGTTCCCTGCACCTGTTCCTCTTCCCCATCACAGCCATTCTGCCAGATCCCAGACTTGCCCAGCCTGCCTGCCCCGTGTGCTGGAGCTGCTCCAGGGCTCACCATAGTCACAGCAGCTCCTTCCCCTAGCTTCAGCAACTTCCCAGGGAGGTGCCAGTGCCAAGAAGTGGGTCTTGTGTGAAATCTGTCCCTAATGCTCTCCGAGGCAGTGCCTATTTATAACATCCGAGAGCAAAGCCTGGATCCGTTTCTTAAAAGAAACCTATCTGGCTTTGTTTTCACGTTTCCAAGTAAACAGCTTTATTTTGCAGCTCCTTGAAACATAAGTGCCACAGACCACTCGGCCAGCTTATCATCCTTTTTATGCCTGAGACAGTGTTTTTGAGCACTTAGAACTTCAACTCTCCCATTGAACTAGGCAAGGTCTTTAGCAGGGGTGGTTCCCTGGGAGCCCCTGGGGCTTCAGCTCTCTTCTACTGGAGACCAGAGCTATTGATTTCCCTTGAGTCACACTATTAACTGGGAGGGGACAGCAGGAGAATGTGGGCTGTTTGTGTGGTGCACAATGCTATTTATGGTGCACCTCAGAAATGGGAAAACCCATGCAGGGAGTCCTCTTTCCACGAGTGAAAAAAAAATAAAAAAAATCAAGAATTGCTGACAACCTACATAAATGTATGCAGAATGTACACATAGGGTCAAGAGGGTCAGACTGTCATTGTCCTGTGGAATTCCAGCGGTGCCAACCCAGAACTGCTCCTGGCTGCAGCTGAAAGCCATGGCTGTGGTGGGATACAGCCGTGTAAGGATTGGATTCACATCTGCTGGGCATAAAAACGATTTGCCAAGAGCTTTTCTTGCATTACTTTCGCGAGAAGAGGTTGGATCATCTGGAATTTGAATTCTACACGTGGCGATGCAAACCCAGCACAGCGGGGTTTGCTCTTCACAGCTACAGAGCTTTAAATTTCCTTCCACTCCAGCAAACTAACTCTCCCCTGTCTCAGTGGTAATCCCAGTCTCTCCCAGGCTTTTGGGCCCTTTGCTTTTAACGGGGAAAGGGTCACTTACGGTCATCACTGAAGTCATCCACGAGTATGATTTCATGGACGAGGTGCACTGGGGTGCGGTTCAGCACGCTGAGGGATGAAGAGAGAAAATCCATGACAGTGCTTGACCAACTTAACAACCCAGCAAATGGAGTGGAAAAGCCAAGGAACTGACCCCCTGCCGAAGCACAGAAGACCAGGCTTGGACTTCCAGAAAGGATATACTGGATAAGAACCCAGAAACTACCCCCCAGTAATCTACAGTGCCTGGCTATCAACTCCTGGTAGCCTGATCTAGGAGCTAAGTGCTCTGTATTCCTAGGAAATAGTGAGATTCACCCTTCTCACCTTTTTGAACAAAAGCAGAGCCCCACATAAAGCCAGAAAAACCTGGATTTTTTTTTTTCCCCCCCAAATTGCACCAAGATTCCTAACTGGACTTACAGCAAAGCTGCCATCACCTCTCCACCTCCTCTGGGGCTAATGATATGGTGTCCAGCCACAGCAGGGCCAACACAGAGAAAATTACCCAGCTCAAACCCATCTTTACACAGCTCACAGCTGTGGCAGGACAACTCCTGTTTTTATCCACGGGCTGATTGTGTTGCAGAGGCTGCTGAGAGGATAAGAGCAGGGTTGGAGCCCACCCAGGTAATGAAAGAGAGGCTGGAGGATGTGGTTCACAGCTCCCTCTGTGTAGACAGACACTGAAACATGGCTCAAAGCTAAAATCTTCCCTTAATTAAACCACCAAAGGTTATTATTCTTATTATTAAAAAATCTAGACCTGTTCTTTCCCTTTCTCTCATGGTGCAGAGGTCATGGATTGGTTGCACTGGCTCCAGCAATTTCATCTCAAATAAACAGCAGTGCAGCAGTCACCCTGACATGCAGGACATGGAGTTGCAGTTGCTATTACACATGCTTAAAATCCTGCCCCAGCAAAGGGTCAAGGCTGTCTGCTTGAAGCAGAAGCCCCAGAGCACCCCAAAAGCCTCCTAAGTGCTTGAGTTGGGCTTTGATAATGCCAGTCAGATTGTACAGGCTTTCACAGCATTTAAACTTCTTTGCCTTCATCCTGAGCATGGCTCCTTTTCCACAAAGCATTTAAAATCCCCCCAAATTTCAGATCTTCAGACCTCCCACTGGCACAGGAGGGCAGTCATCCAACCACCTAACAATCCTGCAGCCCCTGATTCCCTGCCAGATCCTTATTAACAGGTTCTCTCAGTCTCTCAAGCTCCCAAAACTCTTGCAAAAAAAAAAAAAAAAGCACCTGAAAGTCTGGAAAAACCACATCCCTGACCCAGACCACAGTAAGGAGAGCTACTTATGGGAAGCCCTAGGGAACTTGGGAGCCACCCAACAAGCTGGCAAAAAATGCAGCCCACCCCACACAGGGGGTTCCCCTTTGCCAGGTGCCTTCTGCCTGCACTGGAGTACTCCCTCCCCTCCAGGTGCTGGAATTACAACCCTGCAGAGAGAAACAGCTGAACCAGTTTTTATTTTTTGGAAGGCATACAGGACATCCCAAGGCAGATGCATGACACAGAATCATAGAATCAGAAAATGGCTTGAGTTGGAAGGGAGATCATCCAGTTCTAATCCTAGTGCCACAGGGAAGAGACAACTTCCACTAGACCAGGGTGCTCAATGCCCCATCCCACCTGGTCTTGAAGACTTCAAGTAAATGGGCATCTACAACTTCTCTGAGCAACTCACAGGAAATAATTTCTTCCATATATTACTCCATGCTGGGGTTTGGTTTTTTTTTTTTTTTTTCTTTTTTTTGTGGGGGGGGGGGTGTTTTTTTTTTTCCCCCTGGGGAGAAATCCTCTGAAAAAAGGAGTTTTCCTCTCAGACCAGAGTAGGTAAGCCTAGCACCTCCCTTGTGGAGCACCTCAAAAACCACTTCTAAGAATTACTTTCTCTGGAAAGACAAAAATCCCAGGATCTTGTCAAAAGCCATTCTTTCCCCCCACTTCAGACGCCTTGCATGCTAAGGTTTGAAGGAAGAGAAAGCCACTGTCACCTCAGCAACAGCCTGGAGCTACTGTGGCCACCCCGACACTTTGGCTTGTGCCAAGCAGAGTTAAACAACACCTCTCCAACACCCACAGCCTGAATGGAGTACTGGGAAAAAGTGGCTCAGCGCCCCTCCTCCCACTGGGGCACACAGAACAATTTAGATGTGCTGTTTCCACCTGCCAAGTGTTTTTTAATTATTGTTATTAATAGGCTTGTTATTTTTTAGAAATCCCCGTACGCCAGAGCTGAGTTCAGCAAATTACCGTAGCCGAGCATCAGTAGACAGAGACAGGAGGGCAATATCATGCTCAGTGGAATATTTAACAAGTGTTGATTGCCTGGAAACCTAACTCTGTGCAACCTGCAGGAAAGAAGCAGGCTAGTAAAAAAAGCCAGCAAAATAAATAAATAACCCACCGAGAGCGGGAGGGGACAAGGCAGCAGGAAACTTGGAACATTCAAGGCCTGCCTCTGCCTGCTCTCCCCTCTAGATCTGGCTGCCAGAAATGCAGTGCAGGGCTTAACCCTGTGGGAAGGTGGCTGCAAAGGGGCTGATTCTGCTGCTTTTGCTGGTACCAGCCATTAGAACTCAACCAAAGCATTGGGCTGTGTAGGCTCAGGCCTGGGCTCTAAGCAGTACTCAGTGCCTTAAAGGATCTCCTGCCAGAGAAAATCTATGGAAGAAAAGAAACCATTTCCATTCCAATGGACCACTTCCATTCCAATGGACCACCTCCATTCCAATGGACCACTTCCAAGGCCCTGGGCTGGGGAGAGGTGCAGCCCAGTCCCAGCTCAGCTGCAGGTTCCCGCTGTCCCCACATTTGCTGCCAACTCTGTGCCTGGGCTTGCCACCCCATAAATCAGGGAAGATGACCCCTAAGTGCCAACAGTGGCCATCTGTGGGGCTGACCAGAGCATGGGGGAAAAGGCCAGCATGCTGACCGACGAGGGAAGGACATCTCCATGAACTGTCACCCTTCCATGGGGTTAGTGACAGACACCACTGTGGGTGGCACACGCCCCTTCACCTGTACCACCACAGCCCTCTCCCAGCAAATCCCTTGTGGGACTCACTCACCACACAACACCTTTCCCAAATTCCAGTGAATTCCCAAATTCCAACTCACCCTGGTGAGGGCAGTCCAGAGGCTCTATGGGACCTGCTGTCCACTGGTTTCAGCACACTTCCAGCTCATTATTGCCCTGCAAGTCAGAGCACTGACCCCAGCAAGCCCCAGAACTGCTGCTAAGCCAGGGGCCACTTGATGCACGCACAGAGAGATGCCCAGCAAAGCCAAATTTGTGTCTCCAGTGCATTTTCTGCCTGGTGCTCTATTAACCACATAATACCACATGATGCTGTGAACACACAATATAAGCCCCCCTCCTGCAGCGCTCCTCAGGGAGGATGGGAAAAAGAGGCATCAAATCCTCCACGTTTTCAACATTACAGTTTTTGGTTTGGGTTTTTTTTTTTTTCAGCTAGACCATAAAAGCACTTTTAAAAATTCAAAGCCGGCTTTTCTATTACTTGTGCCTCTGCTCAGCTTTGATATTTTTTTTTTAATACTTTCCTTTCTTTATGTCTGGGCATGGCTTTTTTTTCCCTTTTATATGGGAAAAATCAGAAGACAATATTACAGTGCTTTGAAGTCCCTCTGTTATTATAGATTTTCTTTCCCTGAAATCAAACATAGGTAGATATATACTGCAGTGATGGATATATTTGAACAAATCAAAACAGTTTTTAAGCTCTGCTGTGCCAAAGATCACAACATTTTCTCCCTTAAATTGCCAAAAGACCTGTTACCATCAAAATGAAAGCTCCTGCCTCTAGTCCAGAAAGTGTTTACTCACCCTAATAAGAACAGGTTTGCAGCTGAATTATCTTTTGACAATGCTGAAACTTTCTTTGTTCTGATTTATTTACCTTATGAAGACACAGCCATGGAGAATTTCACCTTAAATTTTCATTGTAAAGTCCCTCTTCCATCATCCTCAAGAATTTGTTGGGATCTTTTCCCACCTACCCAGAGGTAAGCACTGGACTCAGCAATTTCATCTCCAAATAAATACCAGTGCAAAAATCACCCAGACCACGTAAGATGTGGAAAATGTTTGCAGGAAGGAATTCCGACCTTCTGACCAAGTCAGGGTGGTTTTGGTCATCACCCACTTGCTATAGGGAGGTGACTGTGGACACCCATCCTTGAGAACTCATGAACCTGCTAATTCTCTCCATGGCAACATATTAGGACTTGTTGGAAAAGAAAAAAAACACCTTTGGGAGGATAATGAAGTATGAAAAGGGCCAAGGGTCACAATTATCAAAATCAGACAGAGTATGGAGAGAAAATACCCACCAAAATGAACTGCTTCAACAACCCCAAATGGCTAATTATGTAGGAAGAAAGACATCACACCAAGAATAACCATAATGAGCTTTGATTACACTGCAGCTTTTGCATTTTATTCTTTCAAATACCCACCAAGCTCTTTGAAATTCAAGAGTTCTCTTATGTTAACATCAAAAGGTAAGAGCGCACGGAGGGCTGTGTACTCAGTCACCGCGAGAGATGATTAGCAAATTAAGAGAGAAAAAAAAAGTCCAGGGTTTAAGCAAAAAGCAGAAAAGAAAAGAAGAAATGAAAAAATAGTCAGCACAAAGTGCTAATTATACAGTTTCTGTGCAACACCTGGCTTGTTTTTGCTTCTTTAATCAGGCTCATTTCAGTTATGGCACAGACTCCATATGGTGCCTAAGCAAGGAGGCTTTGTCACCTCCCTGTCTCAGATGTATCTGGATGCAGACAAGGCAGTGGCACAAGGCGTAGGTGAGAGGTGTTGGCTGCCCAGGACACCACTTTTTTCACCTATGAGCACTGGAAAATGAAAGGCATGATATTCACTCTGCTAATTAATGATCTAAATATTTGATGTGGTATTCACAGCGCTTGCATCAGGACTCCTGCCAAAGGATGTGTTTTGGTTTGTCAGCAAGAGGTAAATAATTTAAGTTTTCTTATTCCTGCCCTGAGCTCCCCAGCTGCAAGTTTGAAGAATAAATAAGTAAAAACCACTCAGCAGAGTAAACGGGACTGTTTCACCATCTGCCCGGCAGGTCATCCACATGACAGGATTAGGATTCCCTTGCTAAATCCAGGCTAGTATAGGATGGAAAGACAGGAAAGAAGAAATTGTTGTTTTGGTGGGGTTTTACTTTTTATTTTAAATGCCTCTGTAGTGCTTATTTTCACCCTTGCTCCTGCCTTCCCACCTTGAGTTTACTCACATGGTCCCATCTCATGCACTGGAGATTCTCACCAGTGAGATGATGATGGAGATTCTCACCATTTTTAGGGACTGAAAGACACAAAACTGAACCACAGAGGGAAAAGGAACTTGTTAAAAAATCAGTGGTCGAAACAACCCAATGAGACTTTCTTCACCATCTGCACAGTAAAAAAAAAAAACCTTAAAAAAACTCTCCAGAGCTATTTTGCTATTGACCATCTCCTCCTTTCTGTCCTCTTCTCCTATTTTCCATTTCCCCTTCTCATGACACCCATCCCCTACTCCCTGGACAGCTGCACACATTCACAAGCACCGTTGCACATGCATTTATAAATGCTGACCTCACCATTTCCAGAGATGTGGGCCTTCAATAAATTTACTTTTTCTTTTTTTTTTTTCCCCCCTTGCTTTACTTCCAGCTGGCAAATGGTCAGAGAAAAGATCATGAAACTTTTAAACGAATTCATTATTCAACACAATCCACACCAGCTTCTCTCAATAACTCTGACAACACAAAATGTCCATAAATGAACTGTCCCAAGCGCCCCCAACGTGACCTGAGTAAGGGGTGCCAGGGAGGCCGTGTGTTGCTGCTTCCTACCAAGAGCTTGAAGCACACTGAGCCTGCAGCACAGCTCAGCCTCAGCACTTGGGGAGCACTGAGGCTCTCAAGAACCCAGGAAAACGGCAGGAACAGCAAAATCCCCCAGCTCAGCAGGTGCGTGGTCACTTCTGCAAGAGGCATTCCCTCCCCTGCTGCCTTCAGCAGCATTTCCCTCTGGCTCTCCTCTGTGTCTGCATAGGGAGTGCCCCTTTTGCAGGGACAGTGCCCCATCACCCATGGCTTTGGACAAGCCAAGCAATGTCCCTTTGTCCCATCTCTTGCTCCTGACAGGGTGATTGACATTGAGAATCGCAATTAACGTGAGAACATTGATTCTGCAATGAGGCTGGAAAATCCAACGTACTGGAACTCAGGAAACCAGGTCTGCAACTCAGAATCTTCCACCAGCTACAGAAAAATCACCTCTCTGTTCCCCAGCCTGTCCATCTGTCATCTGGGTTATACCACTGAAGACATGTACTAGGGAGAATAGGGTAGAAGAGGTGACAAATTTACCCACCACGATGCTAAAAGCAGTTGGCCACAAACTGTCCCAAAAGGCACAAAGCACTGTCAGGAGGGCAGAGTTTGTTTTGAATGGCCAAGGAAAATGATCCATGTTGTTACAGCCACTGTGGGATGGAGTCATCTGGAAGATCTAATTAAACCGAGTATTTGGCGAGCAAGAGGGAAAAAGCCCCAAGCAGTCAGAAGGCAGAGCAAATTAACCCACAGAGGCTAAAGAGGCAGATGAGCCCTCAGCTGGGGTCCAAAAAGAGGCAGGGAGGTGGCAATATGTACACAACCACATCTAGAGAGAACAGAGCAGGAGCCACATCACCAGCTCGCCACCAAGGATTGGTATCCCTAGGCTTGGCTGCATCAAAGCAAGCCTCTAGGCACTGCATCCTGAGGAAATCAGTGAACCCTGATGCCAAAAGGCCAACTCCAAACCATGGGGACCAGGAAAAAAGAGGGTCAGCCCAGGAGAGTTCAGGATCCAGCCCAGGGACAAGCAGAGGAGATGGGGACCAAGGCTGTCATCTCAGTTCCTCACTGCCTGGGCTTGCCTCTGGGGTGCAGCTCAGTGGGATGCTCTGTGGGGCTCTGGAACTGTTGGGGGATGAACCTACAAGAAAGGGCTCAGAAGGGTCCCCAGAGCTGGGGAAAACCTCCCCACAGATTAAACATGAGCACTGGAATTGCCAGGGCCCATAAGAAAGAAGGAGCAGTGCAAAGGGGCAAAGCTGTGGTGAAAATCACACATGACCAGGTAAGGAAGGCAGTAAAGCCAATTAATCAAGTCAAGCAAATTGAAAAAAGAGGAACAAGGAAGAAAGTCTATGCTGGAAATAAGAAACTTCAAAGGACAATCACCTCAATGAAGAAGTAAAAATTCAATGTACCTGTACTTCTAACCTTGCCATCACTACAATGAACAGTTCTCTAATGAAGCCAGATATGGGGGATCCAGGCCTAAGAGCTGTACCATGGGTCTAACATTCCTCATGTGACAACACCACTCATGACCACACCTGGCAGGACAGTCAGGTGCTGAGTTACGGGGAGAAATGAGGTTAAAAATGCATCCCTGCACTTCACATGTTATAAGCCCCCTATATTTTGGGAGCTAGAGGACTGCACTTGCCACCTCTGCTACAAATACAACTGGTTCTGGAGACTGGCAAACTTATGCAAGGCACTGTAAAGATGAAAGGGAAGGTCCAGGATTGAGGAGGTGGTACACAGCACCAAGCATCAGTGTCACCCAAAATTCACACACACCAGAGAGAGAAAGCAGTGACAGATTACTGAGTGTGAAGCAGGGAGACAGGATTGGGCATGAAACCATAAAGCAGAGCAGGAATTCAATTTCAGGACTGTCAAACTCACTTGTGGCCCTGGATACGCTCACCTGAAGAAGGATGCTGAGAGAAAAGCTCAGCAAAGACATGACAGTGAACAGGGCACAGCTGAAGCCTCCCCCTAACCAGCAACCTCAGTCTGACCAGCACCAGCAATGGCAAGGGGTCCCTGGGGATGCCAGGGTTTAAATTTAAAAGCCAAGACTTGCAGCAGGGCACAGACCTTCACTAAGTGCACGTGAGATGTGCACTACTGGCACAGAGCACAGCACACCCAGGCTTGCTACAGAGCAACCCACCAGCCCAGACCTGGACACAACCTTCCCACAAGAGAACCTGCAGATTCAAGGCACACCTTGGGACTGAACACAGATTTCAAAAGCCTGCAGTGAAAATGAAGCCTTCAGTCTATCCACGACAGCAAAACACAGCCAAGAACAAACCGACAAATGAAGGGATGGCCACATGCCCAGAGTGCTGCACCGCGTCGCTGCAGGAGGACAGAAACCATCCCTGAAAATCTGGTCTGCATGTGTGCCATTAGGGCTTCTCAATTAGCAAGCCTTTCTGGCACTGGATAAGCTCAGAGAGCAGCACAGGAGCAGATATCCACAGAATGATAGCTGTCCCTAGAGAGCTGGGCCAAAATACAGCTGAGCACTCCTACCCAGCTGGATAGAACAGCTCTTAGCCCAGACTCTGTCTAATCTGCTGATGAGCTCTCAAGAGTTTCCCATGCTGGCCCTGCAAAGAGAGCACAGCTCCTCACTTTCCTGAGCATCCCACTGCAAAACCTACTTCTCAGAGAGCAACTTTCAGGCTAATTTCTCTCAGTCTCCATTTGAGACCACAGCTGGCAGGTCTGCTCCTGTTGCTGTGGTGAGTGCCAACAGATTCTGCCTTTATTTGTGATGACCACTGGCCCACTGACCCTCTTTTAAGAGGCTCCCAGGAGCTCTTACCTCCGAATTGTCCTCAGCAGGGTGGACCTGGCCTCGTTGTGGAAGGTGATGACCACGCTGGTGGGTGGGAGGTCCTGGCTGTAGCGCAAAGTCGTACACCTGGGGAGGGAGAAGGCAGAAAAGGCTGTTCAGGTGCTGGAATTCAAAGCCAGAGCTCACTTCATCAAGGCAGGCAGCACAGTCCAACAGTAAATGGTCTCCAGCCATTATTACAAAAAAAAATAAAAAAAATCAGACTTTTTCTGTGTGAATCATTTCTAGAGGAGTCCAGGAACTGCCAAGTAAGCCACTGAGGATTAAAGCAGCAAAGAACTTAACTGTCATTAATGGGAAGGGATGAGAAGGGAAACCAGTGCTTCCCAGCTACCCACCAGGGCTTCTCTCATGCCCCTGGCTCATGGCACCATCAGAGGTAAGAGCATCCCTGCAGCTCCATCTCCCATCCACCTCACTCTCAGCCTCCTGAGGAAGCAATTCCCACCAGCCAGCTGCAAGGTAAGCCAAGCCCTGTTTCTAAATTGATTGTTTCCTTATTAATTCTGCCTTAATTACATAACCAGACTACAGGGAAGATTGGGATTTCAAACTTTCCAAGCCAGCCTTCAGAAGGTGAAAACCCACAGCTGCAGCCACAGTCCCTGCTGCCTTCTTCCCAGGAGGAAATGTCACAGACTCTGTAATTACTTTGACCTTTAGCTGATTAAATTTGTGGCTTTTATAGACCGACACCAATATATTCCCAGCTCAGAAAATCCAGATACCCCTTACATCCATGCCACCCTTTCCAGGGCCCTATAAGTCCCTTAAGATGGTCTCAACATGACACAACAGTAGCTCTCCATCACAGCCATCCTGTCCCTTGCCATACTCATGCCACCACTTGTCTGCTCCTGTGTCACTGCCCAGGTGTTACCACTACCATCCCTCAAATGCAGCAGGAAAGAGCACTGAGCAACCACTCTTCCAAAAAACCATCAGCTCACCCCCCAAAAAATTCTGGACCACAGAACTTGCAAGGTGAAGTAAAAACAGATGGAAAAATTAAATTGGATATGGAGAGGAGAAAGCAGATAAGAGCAGCCAGATATTGCTGGTTTATGCTATTCAGAACAGCATGTTGCACCTCTCAAATGCCAAAATGCTCTATTTTAAACGAGGTTTTACATATTTTAACTTTGAAACTGTATTTCTGATTATTTACAAAGTGAACAAGTGTGCACAACGGGAGAAACAATTCCAAAGATAAAGAAAAAAATGGTATCTTGGGTGGGACAAAATATTTGCAAGCTCACGCTAAATTAGTTGCTGCTTTCTCTCATTGTTTCACTCAAAACTCTTTCCAAATCCTGCTTGAACTTGACCAAAAGCAGGTTTCTCATTACTCCCCTGTTCTTTCAGCACAGTCATCCACACCAGGAATTCACCTTCGAGCCAATTCTAATTCTGGGTCCATCCCCAAAGGACGCCGAGGCCGCGCAGCTATTCCATATGCAGGAGAAAGTTCAGCAACACTGCCCCGCGCGACAACACCCTCATCCATCAAAGCTGCATCTCAGGGATGCTGGAAACAGAGGCTTTCTGAATTATGAAACAGCACTGGGTCGTGCCCTGAGCTGCTCCTCTGGGTCACTGCAGCACCACCTGCACCACCCAGCGTCCCGCTCCAGCCGAGCCATCCCAGGCTGATGCTGCTGAGCTTGGCCGTGGCTCAGGCTCAGCTCCCGTTTGCTCTGCGGAGCTGCAGGGACAGGCGATGGCAGCTGCTCTGCCTGTGCTATTTATACACGGCTCCCAGATGCGTGTCCTTCCACCCACTTCCAGCAGGGCTCTGTGGAGCCAACAAGGGAAGCTATTTCTGGCAAAGAACGAGCGGGAGTGGAAAATACAAAGTCATCAATACTTTACTTACGCTGCTACAACAGCCCAGGAGCTGGTAAAGAAAGCAGGAGCTGGGAGTGTCTGTGCCTCCCACGGGTGGGAGTGCTGGGGCTGCTGCAGGCTGGCTCAGGCTCCTCCTGAGCAACAACCTGCTTCTAAAATCCCAGGTGCTGACACACCAGCCCGGCCCAGCCAGGCAGTGTGCGTGTGGGAGAGGCTGGAATGTCACACACGGGCACCTCCAGAGCTGCAGTTCACCTCTGGCTCGTGTCTCGTGAGGCTTGTCACATCCCAAGGACAGGAGTGATGCTGCTGTGGACCTCCAGCCTCGCTTCGCCTCTGTGACCAGCACTACACCCCAGCTGGGACTTGCCTCTCCAAGCCCTGCCTGCAAAGGGTGAGGCAGAGCTGCTGGATCTTCCTCCCAGGGCTCCTCCTCCTGGCTGCTTTTATGGCTCTGACTCTCTCCTTGCCCAGGATTTTACCCCTGGGTTCTTCTTTCGGGAGCCCTCCCAAAGTTTCCTCCACTTGGTCCCTTTTTTTTTCCCCCCCCATTCCTCCCCCAGTGTAACTGCAGCTAAACATCCTGGGTCCCCAGAAGGCAGATTTCACTTTAAGTTGTTGACTACAAGTGTCTTTTTTTGGCACTTACTTGGGTAATAAAAACCACAGCTTGGAAAAGCATTAAATCCAGCATGTCCAGAATTATTTTGTGTGACAATTACATCTGGGGTAATTTCAATTTAATACCTCACTGCAAGTGAAAATTGCAGCATGCAGCCCTAAAATTGCTGTAATAATGAAAATAAACCTGCTAAAAGCTGCCTGTGCTACCTCAGGCTGTCACTGGATAAACGTTTTGTGCTGCTGATGGTATTTCATAGGTCACCCATTTGCCAGCAAAAAAAAACAAAACAAAACCAAAACCAACACCCACAACATTTTCAGGAAACCAATGAAAGCTTGAGGGTTTTTTTAGATTGTTAAAAAAAAAAAAAAAAGGAAAGAAGAAAAGGAAAAAAAAAAAGTAGTAACTGCACTGCCTGTATTTGCAGTGTGTTGAAACTCACTGGCTAAAACCATTTAAAGTTTGATGCTTTGAAACCTTGCAGCAGGACTGGAGAGCAATCCTAGCACAGCAAGTGCAAGCAAGAAAGCTGCCAGGCAGCTCTGCAGGTTCCCAGCATCTGGGTGGGGTGAAAGAAGACAGAAACCAGGCTGGCCTGCCCTAAAAACCCCAGGGAGAGCACCCAGATAGAGAACAATTCTTATTTTCTCATGCAAGAAGTCAAACTTCATTTGATGGGAAGAGTCACTTTTTGATTGAAGTTTTTTTTTTTCCATTCAAAATGGAAATAATTTCACAATCAGGAAGCTCTGAAAGGGGTAGTCTGGCTACAAACACCTTAGGAATCACTTGGAAAATCCCAGGCTGGACTGGTTGCCTGTTATACTTCCTCCAGGTTGGACAGAGCAGCACAAATGTCCCCACATTCCCAACGTGCTGTTAACTAAATAAATAATGCAGTGCCTGTTTGTGGGGACATGGAGCAGACAGCCAGAGCCCTGCACTCACTGCAGGAATTGCAAAAGCTCTCCTGCAAAGTCCCAAACTTTGGACACTCCAGCATGGCCCCCAAAGTCCCTTTCTCAAGATATTTTTCTTGAGCTTCTTCAGCCCTTGTGCTGCTGGTGAGCAGAGGGGTCTCACAAGCTGGTAGCCTCCACACACAGCTGCCCCTGCATCCTTAGGGATCCTCCTGACAGGGCAGCACATGCCCATTCCCAGGGAATCTGAACCCATTTTACATTTAAAAATGGCCAACTTCACTCTCAGTGCCCCTCACCAAACCAAAGCCCACCCTGCCACCACAGCTGCACAGTACAATGGTGAAGATTAACCGTGTGAACAGAGATAGACCTGATGCCAATAGTTTTAACTTTCCTATTTTTTAAATTCTGTACTGTCTTAGTGTGCGACTCTGAACTCCATATAAAGTGTCAGCAAGCTCTCTTCACAGTTTAGTTGGACAAAAAAATTCTTTTCCAGCCTGAGAACCAAGGAAATCATTGCAGCTTTAGGCTCAAGAAGTACCAACAACAGAAAACTGAGGAGAGCAATCTGGGAGGATGGGACTTCATAACCTGAAGCTGTAATTGGACAATTGACCCCAATATGTAAATGGGCCAAAACCTATAAAAGTGTGAAAATGTGTGACTGGTCATCCATCCTGCATCCATCTTGGGTAGAGCCACAGCCAGGCTCTTGTACTGCCCAAGGTGTATCCTTTGAAGGCTTTTTAATAAATACCTACTTTATTCCTTTAACTCTGTCCAGCCTCTGTTCCAGATCAGCCTCTTTAGGCATCAGACCCCGTTCCACAGCCTCTTCTGGTGCCCCCAGGCTCATCCAACATCACATGTCCACAGTGCAGTGCTGTGTCTCTCAAAACCCACCTCTCCTGAGCCTCATTAATTTCCCTCCATAAATGATCATCCTCATCCCACTCCCCTAGATTCCCCCTGCCAGGCTTCTGCTCATTCCTCTGCTCTACTTCAACAGCCATCACTTGCCAACAGCTCTGCTCTGAATTTTTAACGTTTTCCACGAAGTCCAAACTCTCCCTCAACTCAGCTCACCACTTCCAAAGCACCCTCTGCATATTTATTTCAAACAGCAGCTGCATCAGGCAGAGCTACACCATCCTTCACCTCCCTGCTGGCTCCTCTCTTCTCCTTGGAAACACATGGGAGAACACAGCCCTGTCACCACGCATCCAAAATAAGGGTATTTGGGTTTGTGTGCACTCTGCTGCCACAGGACTCTCACATCTGCCCAGAGGATCTCACATCACCAACAGCATGGGTTCACACCAGCCCTGATGGACAAACCACGCTGATTTCAGATGGCATTCCCCAAGGAATGTTTAAAAATTGTTCCCGTGGGAAGAAAATGAAAATTATGGCCCTGGTGAGAAAGGAAGCCACTACCCACCATAGGTAAGAAAGAGTTGTCAGTGGAAAGGAAAGGATTGCTATGCAGGCTCTGCACACCTGTAGGGACAGGTGGCAGGACATGCAGGCACCTTGGTCACACCTCTCAGGACAACCTCTCAGGGTAGCATACGCAACAGTGGAAAACTATTGTGCCTAAGCCCTGTCTTTGAGCTGAGGCAAAATTCATAAATCATAAAAACATAGAATATTTTTATGTTGGGTTG